AAGACCGCCTAGGGCAAGACGCAGGACGGTGAAGAGGAAGGCAGCGACCCCACACCCGGGGGGCGGGGACTCGGGGTGTGACGGGGGCGGGGGCGGGGGCGGGCACCCGGAATCGGAGGCGGGCACCCGGAATCGGAGGCGGGCACCCGGAATCGGAGGCGGACTCCTCTGTATGTGCTACTCTAAGCAGGCTCACTAAGGTTCGCAGAGACCGACGGACACGTTTCTCTCTGACCAACAAGGTGGGGCTGCAAGCACGCCTACGCCTTCCTTCGACCCTGACGCGGGATACTTCTGTGAAGAGGATGGTGGTGGTGCCAACAACGACGCAGGCGCGCCGTCCCCTCCGCCGGCTTAGGACTGATTGAGGCGTGTTGTGCATCGTTGAAAAAATATTTAGTGGTTTGAGACGGCCCTTTTCCTATCATCCCGGCTTGCTTGCGGCGTATTGTAGCGCTTCGGATGAATCGCGGTGTGTGAACTTTAACTGCTCAATGCTGTAAATCTTCGTTTGTCAGGGACTCCGCGGATAAGATGTAGGGGCCGGTTTTCCGCTACAGCCGAGAGTACGCTTGCGCAGCAGGCCCCCGAGACGGCATGGCAGATGCTAATAATTTTCGTTTGTCAGGTACTCGCAGCGCACCGTCCAAGAGTTAAAAACGCAAACAGAGCGCACCTGGGTATGCATAGGTGACTCGCACTCCTACAATTTTTCTTGTGTTCACTCATTACTCTGTGGAAGGCAGATTGCGTGCGGACTGCGACCAAAAACACTTCCGAGAAACACGCAAAACAGGCCAAAGGGTAGGCTACATATTATTAAGGAATAATAAAAACACACACAGAAAGACTACCCATTCGAGATATACCCACAGTCGAACATATTATCTACCTTTGTCATACATGGTGTGACTCACCTCCTAAAATTTCTGTTGCACTTGGAGCAGATGGACTGCTGGCCAGGGGGCGTCGACTTGCCGTCGCTCCCGATGGATGACATCTAAACCCGCCCGTCCCGTCATCGCGTCGCGGGTGAACACCACATGCAGCACATAGTTCAACCACGACGCCAGCAAGTTGGACGAACAAAAAAAAAACGCACGGGCATCAGCGGTGTGGTTTGGTGTGTGGGAATGATGCGCATCATCTATTGCGATTCTTCCTCCATTTTCTTTGGAAAGCTTTGCCAGCAACACAAGCAGGCTTCAACTGGCTTCGCGCCAAAGATGAGCGAGGGATCCAAATCCAAACTTTCAAACACAGCAGCATCTGGTTGGTGTTGAACATGGGCGGGGAGTTTCGAAAAGCAGTCTCTTCAGCAACAAAGTCAACTGATGTTAAAGTCCGGATGAAGGGGCGCGTGCATGTGGTAGGAGTTGAGACGGGCGCCAGTTTCAAATCTGTGATCCCCAGCATGTTTCTAATCATGATGTCCGGTGCCCCATCTGCCGTTCGGCAAAAACGGCAAGAAACGCACACACACTACAAGTACATAATATGGCTCTCAAACCCCCGTTCAGAGCGCATGTCTGTGTGACGTTTGTTGGGACACGCCACTGCTGCAGCCTTTCCCACAACCATTCCCTGCGGCAGTATCCTTTGGGCGCCCGAGCAACGCGGGCAAGACTCACACACAACTACGTGCATCGCCCACATCCCGGGGCGCGCGCGAAGGTATCTCCACGTACAAAGCCGCGGATACAGCAGCTGCCGACGCGAGGAAGAGAAAAGTTGCGTTCCCCACCTCGTTCCTATGGCAATAGTTCCCCGTGCAGGCAGAAAAGAAGCCCTGCATACTGCCCGAGCTACCACCGACACGAGGGCCTCCGGGAGAGGACATGGCGCACACAGCTTCTTGTCTTGGCAGCGTCGTTGAGGAAGGGATCTATCTCGCGATCTTGTTGTTGTTGTTGCGACCTTGCGTGTGGGATGACGGAGGAAAATGCCAGCAACGAGCAAAGCAGGCGACGTGTGTGTGTTTGCTGCACCTGTCCGCTTCGCGTCTGTTTTTTTTTTTTTTTGTCCTCACGATTTTAACGCCAGAAGAGTTCACAACTCTCTTCCCTCTGTGTACACACGAACTCTCGCTATCCACTAGGCCAGAAGCGGAAGCGAGAGAAAAACTCACATTGCAAGAAAAGCTCGCTTACGCCGGGATTCGAACCCCTGATCTGACCTCTAGAGGGTTTTGAGGTTACCAACTAGACCACCGGGCTACCGGTCTGTCGATACATCTTGAAGAATATCAGGAAGCGGCGTAATTAAAGGGCTACGCATATATAGCATCACACCGGCGGGATTTTGCTCCACAGCATTTCAGCTGAGCAGCAGTGCAGGTCGGTCAGGTGGGTGTTGCGTACGAGCCCTGTAGAGATTCCCATCCACTCACTACCCATCGCGAGGCGGAAATGTCAGCAGCGTCGCGGAAAGGCAGCTCGACAGCAGCTGGTAACGGAAGGAGAAAACAACCCGGTAAAGCTAGTGCCACTGCCGCTGCTGCTGCTGTTGTTCCAGCAGGAGAAGCAGCAACAGCAACAGCAACATCAACATCCCCTGCCAGACGACGGGACGAGCCTCTTGATGCTCCAGGATGGCAGGAGGTCGGGAGTCGAAGAAAAACTAGCCAGCCCTCCAGTACGAGGGAGCAGTTTCAGGAGCAGCAGCAGCAGCAGCAGCAGCAGCAACGGAATCGAGGAGCATCCAAAATGACCAAGCCACGCCGAAGCACCGCTACCGGCAAGAACAACAACACGGCGGTCACTGCTGGGCAGAAAGCGGGCGGCAACAACAACGGCGGTACCGCCAGGCGCAACGGCCCACAGCAGGCAGCAGCGGTAGCTGGGAGGAACAAGCACACGCTCTTCGACCACCTCTCGACGAACAACAGCAGCATTGTTGCTGCTGCGGCGGCTGTTGCTTCTCGGCAACAACCGTTGGGCGGTATAAGTAGCTCAGCAGCGCACCGATTTCAACAACCAATGATACCACCGCCACGGCGGTCTGCCTCCTCGACCCCGAAAGACTACCGTAGTAGCCGGGATCTGCAGCCATGGCGGGGGGTCTCGTCCGGCGATGCCGCTGAAACCTCCCAGCAGTCACGACATCGACGCGATGCTATAGCTGACGGCGGTGGGCGACTCAAGGGAGCGGCACAAAGCTCACCATCAAGTGGGACCAGACGAAGCGGCCCCTACGCGCAGGGTAGGGCGATGCCCAAGAACGAGAACATCCCGAAGCCGGGAAAGCAGCGCCTCGGTCCTCGCAAGAAGAAGCTATCCACGTTAAAGAAGAAGATTTTGTTAGATAGGTTGGAGAGATGGAGAGACAAGCAGCACGAGGGGGCCCTGTCGACCCCTTCTGCTACTGCTTCTTCCGAGGAAGCAAAGTGTAACAACCCTTTCCCTCTCTGTCCTCCGGGAGAGTTATCACCACCACCGTCGCCGCCGGCAACAATCTGTCCGGCTGTCGTCGACAAGTCCACGAGCTACGGTCAGGTTGGAGGTGCCAATGGCGAGAGAAGTGTGTGGGCAATCACGATCTACAACCTTGTGGACCAGGAGGATGTTGAGGACGACGACGACCACGCGGAGATAGAGCGAGATTTATGGGACATGTCTTCGGCGTTCGGCGTCGTGCGCAGCGTACAGGTCCCGCGCGGCACCGCCGTACAGGTTAGCGACGCCGAGGTGTCTGCGGCAGCCGCAGCGGGGGAGCCGGCTGCAGTAGCGGCGAAGGTGGCATTTGCAACGAACGCCGAGGCCGAATGCGCGAGGGACGGGCTGAACGGCCGAATCGTAGGCGGGAAACCGTTGCTTGTCAGAATACACCGCTGTGATGGCCACTTCTGCGGCGGCGTTTGCCCTGGTGACCCCGACGGCAGCGGCTTGTGGCGGGTTGCCATCGAAAATTTGATCGACGAGGAGGACGACCTAGACGACGAAGATGAGTACGCCGAGATCTCCGCCAACGTTTCGGCCATGATGGGGTGTTACGGAAAGCTCGTGGATGTCCAGGTACGGAGGAGCAGCCCAAGTAAAGGCGAAGTACAAGAAGATGTCGCAACAAGGGCGGCGACAACGGCAGGAGCTACACAGGCGGTCGTGGTTACGTTCGGGTCTCTAGCGGAGGCAGAGGCGTGCGTCCAGGGGATAAAAGGGTGCCGTGTGGGAGGAAAAGAGCTTGACGCCCACGTTGTTCTCGATTCGGAGCGAGTCCTCCCTTCGAATCCAGCATTCAAGTGCGACCAAGAGCATGCCCACTCATCGGACGTTGCCGCAGCCGTAGCCGGCCAGGGCGACTCGATGATGAAACAAGAAGCCGGGACGGAACCGTCACCATGTGTTGACCAAGACACCGCCGCTGCAGTTGCAAGCAGCACCGAATGGCGCGTGGTCATCCGAGGACTGATCGACGAAGACGACCTGCAGGACGACGATGACGACTACGCCGAGGTGTGCTCAGATGTGACCGCCTTGGTGAGCAGTTATGGAGCAGTGGTCGGGCTTGACATTCCCCGGGGTCGAGAGACCGGCAGCTGCTGCTATGGAGCTGAGCCGGGAGAGGCCGTGGTCGTGTTTAGGTCCCTCCAGGAAGCTGAAGCATGCGCACGGGGACTGAGCGGACGGAAGGTAGCTGGGAACATCCTCGACGCTCAAGTCTTGACGCAACCAGCACCGTCGCAACAGGGGCCGCTGCAAGGGGGGGCAAGTGGTACCGGCCCTCCTGTTGCCAACAGAGAACGGAAGCCGGCAAAGGAATGCCCGCTCCCACAACATCAGGCTTCAAGCCACCAATCATGTGGCAAGGTTCCAGAGCTTGATGGCTCTGGACCGGGAATGCTGCGAGGCTTCGGAAACAGGGTAGAGGACTGCTGTGGGCGCCCTAAGATCGCCTGTACTGATTCGGATGAACCACAGGCAATTGCCGCAGCGGCGCCGCCGGGGCAGTCCATCGAAGGGCCGAAGACTACGGCTCTCGCCAAAGCGGGGAAGAGGATACAGACAAAGTACCAGGAGGCAGCAGCGCTGCCGAAACCTCCAGGCGTACGTGGGGGTTTGCCCAACGCATACGTGAACCAGGTAACGTGTGTGTGAGTAGACCCGTGTGGTACATGATCCGAACGAATTTCGACGGACATCAGTGTATACCTTTCGTTTTCTGGAGGGTGCAGGGTGTCCAGGCCGGTTCAGAAGATCTTGCATTTTGGTACGTTCTTCGTTACACCAAACACTTCCCGCCCCAAGCGCGTGTCTGTCGGCGCTGAGCCTTGGACTTTGTTTTCTGGTGTCTCTTGCCGCAGCCTCCAGACAAGGAGGTTAACGATCTGGTCTTCGAGATGCTGCAACTCCTGTTCAAGTTTCAGGTGTGATAATGAGGGCGGAGGTGACTTCCAATCGCAACAAGTCGGACTGGGGCTTGATCAGGGAAAACGAAGTTCAATATGTTTTGGCCTGGACGGACCATCCCCTAGCGCTTGCTTCGTCTGGAGAGCTCGTGATCCCCCAGTCACTACATGTTGTCGCAACATGTGACCACCAGGAGCAAACTCGCCAGGCCGTAGTTGACATGCCACCACTCAATTTGACGGGTTGCCCCGCGTTCTTGTTGGGCGCTTCTGCTTGGACAGGAACGTGCCCGTCTTTCGGACCCGTCCAAGGCGAAGACCAGGCGACGACTAGTCATAGGGCTGCGAGAGGTGCTACGAGGCGTGAAGGCGAAAAAGGTGCGGCGCCCCCGGTTCTGCCCGTGTCTGAAAGACAGCAACGTGTGCTCACGATTATATTTGGCGTGTGGCTACTTGTGCGCTGCCGGCGTTTTGTCCTTTGTCCGTGACAATTTTTCGACGGTTTTGGCAGTTTGTTATTGATCGACTTATTTTTTCGCTGTCACGGGTGTACGCAGATCATTCTTTCGTAGTGATGTACTGTGGTAGTGTGCCGGCCCCTAATCCGCTTCGTCTGTGAAGCACCAAGAGCCTCTATTTTGTATTCGATCCAATGCTTGTTTGAGAGATCGCTTCTTTTTGGATCGGGCATTTCTCATGTTTTAGGTGCGCCTTCTCATCGTCGCGCCCAACGTGGATGCCGTTGGGGGAGAAGGAGGGCTGGATGACAAGGTGGTCGAGATCATTGACAAGGCGCGGGAGGCAGAATATCCCGTCGTGTTCGCCCTGTCCAAGTGAGTCAGCCCGTTTCGAAGTGCATTATTTCTGTCCTTGCATTTCTCTCCCGTGTGCCTTGTTTTCAAGCGGAACCCCATGTGGCGGACTCTGGTTCAGGACCAGCCGGTGATGGGAAACAGCAGGGCAAAACACTGCCTTGGGTGTCGTAAGTGGTGCTCGTGCAGCCACCACGTAGGAACTGGTCCGTTGGGCTGAGGAACCGCGTCATGTATGCGGGCAAGGAGCAAAGGGTAGGCGTGGGCATCTTGTTCAACGCGATACGTTCGCTATTGGTGATAGGAACGCGTGACGAACGGTGGTGTACATGAATTGTCTTTCGTGTGGACCTGTCGTTAAAAGCTTGACCACCCGTACGGAAATTTTGTCCACGGAAATGCTCCCGCTGTGTACGACGAACTGCGGTGTCCCTCGCCTTATTTCTCTCACGGATATAATCAATCTCCCTGGTCTGCTCAGGCGTAAGATTGGCAAGGCGCTTGGGAAAACCATCAAGGTCAGCGCGGTAGGCGTTTACAGCTTCGACGGCGCCAATGAGCAGCAGAAGCAGGTAGGAGAGGGTTCGGCCGCGAACGATTGTTGCAGTCTATGTACCACTCGTCTGGACATCGTGCTTTGTATATAGCAGTGCTTGAATGGATTTCAACATCTGCGGGTCGAGGATTGCCAGGACGGGAAGCGAGTGGAGAAACGACGAGATTTCAACGTAGTAGTTACGTCAACGCAGAAGCGGTCCAATCGGTATTTTCGTGTCTGAGAGCAGATTGACCGGCGCCCTTGTGAAGCCATTCTTTTGGCTGAGTTTGCCCGTCATCTCCGCCAAAATTCCCTGACCCGCTAGTTTTTGTCCGTATTTCTTTTCCCTCGATCTGGTACTTGCCGATCTCCGTTTTCCTCATGCACCCTACCCCTCATGGTTCGAAAGCTGAAACGTCGAATGGAGACCATCAGCTCGCTACCGTCGCCATCCCCACGGCAAAGTGACCCGCCGACAGACGATGCGTTGGCGTCACCACCGAGTTCTTCCGCGTGTGGTGATTCACAGGACCCAGCAGGGAAAGGGTCGAGAGTCTGATGGTTCAATTTCCCTCACATCTGCTGTTATGCATTCCTGCGCATTCGCACGTTTGTGGTGCCTGGTAGCAGCATTATGCGTCGAGCCTCTTAGCGCTCCGACGCGAACTAACGGGAAACTCCCTAGGATGATGTTTCACCCTCATCTTTTCCGTTTTGCGTCTGTGACCAAATGACAGTTGCAGCTCGTCCTGGGTCTTTTTGGGTGAGCCTTTTTGTCTGGGGTAGCGGGAACCCTACATCGATTTGCTTATTTATGTACGAGAGCTGTACATGGTTTGTCACGTGATGTGCTATGGGAAGACCGATCGACCTTGGCCGATGCCCGTCTGTATGTTGTCGGTATGACAATTTTTTGTGGCCATTTAGCTGGCATTTGCGTATCGGTACAGTAATACCCTTGTTGTCGACATAGAATGCAAAGGGTTCCAGTTGTAGCGCTGGTGGCTTAGGTTGCGATGCCACCCCGGACTGTTGCCGGGCAAGTTGCTGCAATGCCGGACTATTGCTGGTTGCTACGATTGTTGTTGTTGTTGTTGTTGTCTTTTCACTCGGTACACCGCTCTGACTACGTCTGACTGGTCAAGAAACGACTTTTCGTGGTCACAACGAGACCACCATAGATAGGTATGGCCAAGTTTGAGACCCAGAAGAATATCACCAGTCATGAGCAAGAATTCTAGCTCCTAGCGTAACCAAAACGAGACAGATGTCAGCGCGAGGTATGGAAACAAGCCTAGGGAGGTATAGCCCGCCGTGCAGAATTGAAGCCTCAGTCAACAACCAACATAACAATTGCAAAGAGAGATAATGGTTGAGGGTCAGCGGTTGAGCTAAGTCGCCGAAGTCTGCCAGCGCAGCTCTACCTGCAACGAATGCATCAACGTGCTGAAAAGTGGCATGCATGCCACTGGTTGCGTTCAAAAACAGTCGCTGAACAAAAGAGGCCAAGGCTTGCGTGGCCAACCTCTCGCTCGCCCCTCGCTCCACTTTGCGTCTACCTCAGCCTGTGTGCCCCCTAGGGCTATTGGCTACAACGTCATCCCTGTTTTCGGCGTAGTCTAGCCCCACCCACGTTGAGCGCATGCGCTGCGAAGGTTGACTTCTTAGATCAGTACCCGTACAACGGGCGGATCATGGTTATTCGAGTCATTTTATTAGCAACATCAGCGCACACCCAAGGGCGGGAAAACTCCGCGTTGTCGGCACTCTGTGAAGTACGGTGATACAAGTGGGTGTAGCTGAGAACGCCCCGGGGGACGCCAAAGTGTATTATGGGCAACCGACAGCAAATGGCATACTGGGAGGGTCTAACCCCCAAAACGGCACACCACGAAAGAGCTTGACTCGGGAAATGACCCCGAGGCGATACGCTGATTGTCTGAGACCACCGACTACCATTTTCTGGTGGCTTACGCGGAGGGTAGTACCAAAAATACTGCGATACTCTCTCAAAATACTTCTCTTTTTGGCCGTGTGCGGGAACAACATAACTCTTCTCCGCCAAAAAGAGCTACAGGGTTGTAATCCTGGAGACTATCGACGAGATACTTAGGTGGCCTTTTTTGCAATGCCTGGATACATGTCTCAATGCCTGTTCACCCTTCTCACAATTCACCAACGAGTTTCGTATTGGAACTGGAAGATTTCGCCCACAAGCCACCCGCGCGCGATGTTCTTCCGACTCGAGCGCGTCCGCTCGATCTCGGTACAGATCGTACTGGCGGTTACAAAACCTGTCGCTCTCGTTCTGGATGTGGGTGACCTCTTCGGCACCACCCGATGTTGTCGCGTTTGAGGTCCGCGACTTCTTCCCGCAAACGTTGATGACCACGCCTCTCAGAATGCTAGGTTCACAAAATTACGGCGTCCAATCCGACAGCTAGACTCGTGTGTCCAAGGGAGTTACCAACTGTGGAACAAGGCCGGAGGTTGTGTGAAGGGCTTTCCATCATCAACTACCACCAGCTCTGTGTCAAAGGCATTGCGATAGTTCACCGAGAGGTGCGGATTGAGTAGCCGGGCGGCTTCGAAGTCGGCCGCGGCTTCCTCCAGGTTCCCCATAGCCTTATTTGCCCAGCCTCTCCGGAAGAGCGTATGCGCCTGTAGGGACGATCCTGATCCAGACCCGATCGTAGCATGTACGCAATTGTTTGTCTTGGATTCTGGCTTCCCCGGCAAACTCGCAAGACAAGCCGTGAAGTCAGACCTAACAGTATTGACGTTAACGGCGCTCATTGTTAATTTCTTTGTCGCCGAGGGCGAGGCTACGAGGGAATGAGTGCGGGGAAGGGGGTGAGAAATTGTCAGCGATTTACGTGGGAATGCCACCTGGTGATCGCACATCGCGTTCAGATCAATCTTGCTGACTTGTGTTAACGGTGAAGCTCACAACCATGGTCCTGTTATGGACGTGTACGAACGTGATAAGACAATGTACTCGATGGGAACAACCGAAGGTTGGGGCTGTGTGAAGATCCCGTAAATATCAAGGAGGAGGCCTCCTACATTTAGCTCAATCAACGAACGTGAGGACGATTCGAGAACGCATTGAAGCTTCTCCCCGCGTTAGTGCGCATGTACCTCAAAAACTGAAACCTATTGTACACGTACGTCGGCAAAATCAAGGGGGGGGCAACTCATCCAAGGATTTCGTTCCCCTTCCTTGCCTGGCACCGTCAAAGTCTCTCAAAAGCTGCCGAATCTTGCCCCGCTCGCGGTGATACGCGGAGCGTGCAACGTTCGCGCCATCCTCGACGCAGGACGAGCCCCACTCTTTCGACCTTCTTGGACCTCTGGGGTTTCGGCCTTCAATGGCCAAGGAGAACGCATCGTGCGCGTCGTCCAACTCCCCAGCGTTCACCAGACACAGTCCCCTGCAAGGTGATGGGGACCAGTCTCCTTGATCAAGTACGGGACCATACTTTTGGAAGGCAGCGTGGATTTCTTCCTCTCCGGTTTGTGGGGCTTCAGAAAGTACACGTTTCTTGTTGTTCTCTTTGCGCGAGGACTGCCTCTGCAACTTTTTGAAACGAAGCCTTCCTAATATGACTTCAGGGGGGGGGAGAGATAGTTGACGCGAAAAGCACACCACAAGCTAAAAATGGAGACCTGAGCCGTACGTAAGAAACAGCATACCGATGGTAGTGAAGCGATGCATCCTCGATTTGACCATCCACCGATACAACAGGGGACGGCTGACCAAGATCCGTTGGCCCCTCAGTCTTTGTGTCTCGTTGCTCTGGCAGCCGAACCTCCTCTTTCCAAGCTTGGTCGAAGAGCTCGAGGGCAAGCGCAAACCTTCCGAGTCTCAAGTACGCAAGACCAACTTGGAACAGGAAATTCCGCATCTATTGTACATAAAAGGCCACCGACGGTGTGTACACAGGGGACGAACGGCGGACTGAAATGAAACCTCTGTGACAACCGTTGGATTATCCCGGAGTCTACATGCATGCGGCGGTACCATCCTACACGACCACTGTACGAACAAGGAGTGGTCCAAAGTTGAGTGAAATAGAGACGATTCAGAGAAAGACAAGGAAAGAAATACGAACAAAGACCGTTCCGAGAAGCATTCAACAGGCAGTTCGCGAACTCCAACGAATGTTGGGCTGGTTCGTGGTCCCAAGGTGCATGGTTAGGGTCTACCACTCGCTGCCGTATTGCAGACGAAAATCCTACAACCCACGCATCCGTACCTCCGGTGGCGGCTCCCCTTTCTCCGCCATGGACATACAAGCTCGCAAGTCCCGTACCGCCGAGGCCCGGTAGGCTTCACCGAGTCCCACCAAACACGTAGCCCTGTGCCAAAAACGCTGCCAGCTGACGGGCCCTTCCGAGATGGCGACGTCGAAATCTGTGACGGCATCGGCATGACGCCCTAGCTGCTGAAGGGAGAGGGCCCTGTTTCATGGGGTTCGACATTTCACGTGTCGACTGCTCTTGATGCTTGATTTGAAACTCGCATGGCGCGGTGTCGTGCGACGGCTCGGGAACAATAGCCTTGGCTGTATGCGCAAACCTACTGTAGCCTTCACGAAGACAATCTCTGCACGTTAGTTTTTCCTATCTCGATTTCTCCGGTTCAAATATTTTCTTTCACGCTAACTACGTGCTTGCATGTAGTCGCGACACTCTTCCGCTTTCCAGCTTGAATTGCGGCCTGCCACACTTTCTCATGCCACCGATAACAGTGCAAAGTCTATGTAGACACACAAATCTTCGTTTGGTGTTCCGATGAAATTGTTTCTTATACGCAGGCAACAGTTCTTTCGGGGGCAGATGGACTACCTCACCTGGCATAGTGGCAAGCCCCGACGACTGACCCCCCCTCCCCCATTCCGTCTCCAACTTCACCGCTTCGCGAATCTCTGCGGCAACTGGCTTCTCGACTTTCCTCTAAATGACCCTCATCGCCGTGCGATTCTGGGTGCTTGGTTTCTGCGGGACTCGCTTCGTGCGGATCGGTGCCGGCGCGGTTGTATTCAACTCTTGGCGAGCAGGTTTCGGACAGCATAACTTCGGGGTTGGTGCGGTTGCCCTTGGTGTCGCCATCTTGCTCGGGTTTCGCATTTCTCGCATCGACTTCTTTCTCATCCCCTTTCGCCTCGTCTTTGCGTTGAGAGACAGAATCGTCTCGGCAGCATCCGTCCGCGCCGCCAAGAAGGCTTGTCGTCCGAGAACTGCGTGCACTCTTGGATCCGAGAATGGAGAGGGCCGTTGTGAAATCCCTGATCGCTTGCTCGTGGCTGCTCAACCGGTAAAGGTGATCAGATTCAACAGCCAATAATTTCGTTTCGTAGTTGAAACGGCCCGCGAACAGGGTGTGTGGGTTGAGGCTGGGCGTCCAAGGAAAAAAAAAATCGTTTCTGTGTTTATGCAACGGCGCTGGTAGTTATGCTGGTGACCTATGGTGGTATTTTTTCTTCGGACCAGACCACTTTTCGATGGAAAAATCGACACACGAGGGTGTACTACCCGCGGTGTTAGCTTTTTGGGCGCGATCGCTGAGAGATTCGGGCAACCTTTGTATCGGAAACGGTTCGTTTTGGTCCCGCCAAGGGTGGGTAATCGCGTGATGGACAATGCGCATATTGCTAGACGACAGCGAGTGCCCCGATTTTGCCTCTATTTGTTCGATCTTCAGCTTGGATGCTTCTGACTTGATTCAAGTCTGACAGGAGTAGCCTTTTGGCGGGAAGCAACAACGTGTATCACAAGGTATTGATACACGGATGCATGAGCCATGTAGACGCGCATAGTAGTGCAACCATTAAACAGATCCCACAATCGCGTGGTAAACACTAGACGTAGGCGTGAACCCAGCCTTGGTTTGGGTACTTGGGAGTGACCAGATTGAACCAGGACCAACGCATCGTAAAGACGTGTGCACGCTTGATCGCGTTGAAATTGCCCTTGCCTGGAAAGGCCCGCAAGACTTCGCCCACGCAGCAAGAACCCTTCCGGCCGCTGGCCGTTAACGGCTATGGACGCGGTGAAATTCTGAAACGACGCGATCGACGAACGTGATGACCGGAGGGCAGACAAGAGGTATAAATGATGTGATTGAGGTACCTTAGCTCAAGCACAGCTCGCTGAACAGAAACTGACACCCAATCGTTAGGCACGCAGAACAAAACTGCGCAAGGGGCAGCTGGGGTAGGATCGAAACTCGTGCTGGAAATTATGTGGAAGAACGGGGTGGGGTGTCAACAATATATTGCACATCGTTCATAGTCGAAAACGCGACCTCGAGGGTAGAGATGCTGTCGGCGCATCAATCAATCTCCCCTCTTCTGTGAGATTCTCACCGATCCACGATGAAAAAACACCAGTTTTCTTGGTCGCAGGCCACAACAACAACAAACGCGGTGGCGGTCAAGAGGTGACCAACAGGAAGCTGCAGGTGGGCCGAAGTACGCCTCACAAAGATAGGTACCTTTGTTGCCTCTTCAAAGCGCCTGAGATCGTGCAATATCAACCCTCGGAGCTGAAACCGCCGCGCATCCAGAGAGCAACTAGCCGTCACGGTAGAGTCGGCCAAACTCAACGCATCCAACGGCCGTCCGAGTTTGAGAAGACAAAGAGCCGCCTGGAAATCGATCGATTGGTGACGGGGGGCAAAGGGTGCTGGTGGAAGAGTCGGCTTGGAATGTTGACTCATTGCCCGTTCGTCTGCTCTGCCTTTTCCTACGACCGTCACTTCTTCCTCATTCTGGGAAAAGCTGCATGTACTCATCATGCCTCTTTACGCACAGTGCAGCTCTCGACACTCCTTTCACGACAACCAAAATCCAATATTGGAGCGACCGTTCTCAGGACCCATCATCTTGGGGGTGGGAGAACTGCTGCAAGTGAAGTTTACTGAGAGAGACACACCCGGGGTGAGTCATCAATCATCCGAAGAGAAGAAGGCAGGGACCGTACCTCAAATTCGCAGGCAGCTCGGCTTGCGACGTCTTTGTTGCCCGTTTCGGTTTTCTCCCTGTTATCAGGAAGACGCGGTGGCAACGAAAACAAAGAGGTACTGTAAAAGTTATCAAAACCATGATCCCCAACATATTTCCAGTTTACCAAGTTGTGTGTCTGGAAACGGCCCTTTATCCCAAAAAACGGTAAAACCGCGGGGAGGGGGGGGAACAGACTGTATCCTTTTTTCGTTTGGTCCCTGTATACGAACCGAACATGGGAAGCAGCGACGAGAAGCGGTATTCTAATACTCCACCAGCCCAGCCTCAGAGTACCTGCGTATGTGAATCGTCCATACTGTGGATGCTGAGTCAAATAAATACCCGACATTTTTCTACTCTAGCGAGGAACGCTGACCATGATGGGGCGGAACTTAGTTCAAAATACTACGAGAGGGGGCAAGGCCTAGGAGCATGAATCATGCCTCCCTCCCTTTCACCTTCGGCGTTCCCATTACCTACCACCTCCGTCGCCGGTCACTTCCCCCCTGACGTATACTCTGACGAGAACGTCCAATACAATCCTCCTCTCTCGCGGACAAGGGCAACTCGCCCGTGCGACGAATCACCGCACCTGGTAGAAGCAGCTTCTTGCTTGTCGAAAGAACGAAGCAGGAGCTGGAGATGGCCCATCGCTCGCTCGTACTCCCCCATTCTGGAACACAGCACCCCCTGCGTTGCAGGATAAGCAAACAATGTGGACGACAACACCGTGCCCCTCTTTAGCCCTTTCGAGTCGAGACGATGGTTTGGGGTGTCTTCAATTCTGCGGCAGTTGGTTACGAGTCATGAGAGCATCTTCCCTTAGCGGGCGTTTGAGTTTCGATTGATGCCATATGCCATATGCCAAAAGGTTATGGATTCCCACGAGTCCACGCACACATGAGAATGGGCACATTTCGAAAGGGGCCTTTGCAGGAGAGCGTGCGCAATACAAGACTGACTTTCACTCAACCTGGGCGCTGACGTGGACCATACGACTACAGGACAACAAGAGTCATTGCCTCGTGATAACTAAGTACCTCCGACGAATCGGATTTTATCGCATCGTCCAGCATCATCAGCTCACTCACGCCCTTGTCATCAATTCTTGAGAACAAGGGCCCGGGCATTGGATAGGACCTAAATCAGTAGGAGTCTCGAACAATTCCGTTGCAATCAGGAACGCTAATAGTTGTTCATGGAAACACCATAGACAGACGTAAGTCCATGCGTGTGTGGGTGGAAACGCGTCAAGTAGACACTATTCAACGCGGTCGGGGGTGGCATATGCCCCATCCATCGTCGTACAAGCAGAACATACGGAATTGCGTCCGTCCGTAAGCGAAACATGCTCTTGAGATCCTGTCAACCAATCTTGGGCCCTTACCGCCGTGAAGAGAAACTCCGGGTTGTTGCTCTCCAGTTCCATTGCCTTCTCGATATCCTGCATGCATGCATTCAACAAACAATGGAAGGTTGGTTTAGCAATGCATTGGCTGACCACACGTTTTGAATGTGTGCAACGCAAAATATTCTGCTTGTGACTACTCAAACGTTTGGACGATGGGGTGATGTGTCACATACGCGTTGTTTGATTGAAGTAGGCTGTGCGCTTTCAAGGGGCTTGCTTAAGCTCGCGGTAACGTGCTGGTGAAGGATCCCACTTGGGGTCTCTCATACTAGGTCACGGGCATGAGGAATGGTGGTTTTCATGGGAATGACTCAAAACTACTATTATTCTGTATAGTACTACTATTGTATACTACTATTGTATTGTACTCAAGTTTCATGAGTACCTCAACACCGGCCATGGCCTCCTCGCGGCCTTCGGATCTCATGGCCACCCTTGCTCTGGCTCGTGCACGCTGCACGAAATACTCCCCCCTGCCCCCGTTCGACAATTCCACGGCCTTGTTGAAATCCAACAGCGCACCTGCATCATCCCCGTGACCCAATCTGCCCCCCGCAGCCAGAACAAGACACACAAGTGAGGTCAAGCGATATTGTTCTTCCCACTTGAAATCAATCGATTACTGTCCTCACATTGATTGAGTGAAGAACATGTCTTCGAGTCTTCTCGTCGTGTTAAGCTCGGAGATGTGGCCAGTGCCTCATACTTTGTACTTCTAGAAGCCAAGCCACAACAACAGACGGTTTGTTTGGTGTACTATTAGGGCACGTGATGGCTTTGCTTGGTAGGGTACTGGTGCAAGTTACACGTTGGTGGCGGGCACGATGTGCTAGGCAAGCTTGAAGAAGGTGCTTTCTCTTTTCGTGCAACCTGTTGGCACATGTGTCCGATGGTTTCGACGACAAATAGCAAATCAAGTTGGGAACACTACCACTGACTGTAGCCCTCGATTCACCTTATCACACCCCTGTCGAAGAAAGCTTCGTGTCTGCCTGTGTTGTCGCTGCTGGGCCCTCCTCCGAGTTGTGCTGCCGGTGCCATGTGTTCCCACTTTTTGAGAGCCTCTCCGAGAACAGTCAGTGCACGCTTCTCTTGCCCCACCGCCTGTTCAGTCATCAGACCATCGGTAGTTTCTGATACCTCACAGAACCTCTACAGAGGCTTAAGTCGAGGGCGTCGCCCGTTTCCTCACATTGTTCCTGGGAGACTTTACTCTCCACGTAGCTATCCCTCTACCACAATCATTCGCGATGGACGTGTTCTACGTGTGGAAAACGCACTTGCACGCAGACAGGTACCGTACTCTCGCCATTTGTCGCGTGACCAATCACGGTCCTACACGTATCCCCGACTTCCAGCGCATCGTATCAAGAGAAATATGCTAACCAAGGAAGAGATCCCACGGTGCGGTTCCTGTAGCCTGACGAAGGGAGTTCTCATGATTTCGCGACACCTGTCCAAAATCGAGGAATCAAGTTGTACTCTTTCCGCGCCATTGATGATGTGCTCCACACACCGAATACCTTTTTGGAGCTTTCGGTAGTCCTCGCACTCACTACCAGCGTATGAATCGTTAGAAATCTGTCTGTCTCCGTCTAACGAATACCTATGCCACACCATTGTGTCTTTGATGACCAATGATAGAGAAGGGCGAAGAAGGATTGAACCCTAAATCAAGACATCAACACGGCTGGCGAGATGCCTACCTTGAGCGCTTTAGCCAGGTATTGCAGGGATGCCGGTGAGGGGTCAGACATCTCCACCGCGCGGGACAAGTCTGCCACTGCTTCCTCCGCGCGACCTTCCTGGAAACGTGAGAATGGCAGGTCAGGTGAAACAGCCATGGCCTCTTCACAGATACAGGATTACCTCTGTATCCTGAACGAACAAGGCTGTAGGCTTCACAAGCGTCCGGCAGGGCTTCGGTGAATCGTGGAGTTGGTTGCCTGGGGTAAGGTAGAGCCACCCCGTGATGTCGTTTAAAATCTCCGCAAAACGATCGTTGGGTTCACAGTTGGCAACCTTCACAGAGTTCCCAGCGCAAGTACGTTGTCATGACAATACCCAATGGTGTCACTTCCTGCACGCATGTCTACCTAGTTGTCCGCCTGCAACGTTGAGCTTTTGAACGGAGCCCTTGTGAATAGCCTGGCTCGCATGTATGAGATACTTGGTCGAGGAGCGCGGACCGTTTGGTGGTTCTGGCGGCATGTGGCACTTTGATGATACGGCTCGGCCCTTGCCAGTACGCCCAACAAACTTCAATACTTCTCGTGATCGTGTGCAACAACTTACCTCGAAGAGGCAAGCCCCCTTGGCGTGAAGGCACCGCAAAGTCATTGCCGAGTCAAACTCCCCCGTGTTTGCCAAGCACTCGCCGTACGATATCACGGCCTGCCCGGGCCTGAGAACGATGAAGTTTCATGGGAAGCTCGTAAGAATAACGACTCAGGGTTGTTTCCAGTAGACATACTGCTGTAGTTCGTGTAGACACAGTTTGTGACCGACGACGCTATGCTGTTGTTTGTGCTACGGCGCTATATATGTACCTCGCCAATATATATGTACCTCGCCAAACGATGATGGAGGAGAGAGGCCCTCTGATAGTGGTGCACCGCTACGGTTGGCTCCAGCTCGCACGCTTTCGTGAAGTCGCCCAAAGCGGCGTCCAGCTTCCCCATCTTTATCAGGCACAAGCCCCTGAATAAAGTGGGGGGGATGGTTGAGATTACCTATCTATGTATGTGTGCACATGTTGGAGCCCTCAAGACAGACGGAAGCGTCTGTGCAAGATGAAAGATGGAGCACGGCAACCTAGTATTCAGCATCCCGACGCCAAAACATGTATTTCTGGTCGTTTGCTGCTGCAGCGCCACAGGACCTACCCGGGACGTGCGTTGTTCACCTAGGTGCTGGAAGATCTGCTTGTGCATGACAAGAATGTGCGATCCGTGTGCTTGAGGCGGAGGACACCAAGGATCTATGTACTGTAGTACCTGCAGGAGAAGTATGTGCACTTGCTGGCATTGAGCCGAATAGCTGAGACGTAATCGTGGTAGGCGTCCACGAATTTGCCCATGGCCTGCAAACACAAAGACACAAAGGCGCGTTAGTATTCGGCAGGATGAGTCAATGAACGGACTCATGGAGCGATAGGAAGAACCGTCTGCTATCCGCACCCCCCCCGCCCTCCGGGTGCCGTACATGCCTGTTGCAGTCTTTGTAATTTTCTGAAACAAGGGTGTAGCACAGTTTATTTTGTGTACCGAACAGAATCTCTCACCTGTTTCTACTCAGATGCTTTTTCTGTACTCTCAGAGCCAACGCAGGGCGGGTGTAGCGTGAACCCCTATCATACCAACTCTGGTTGATTTCATGACGATGATGTTAATAATAACATGCCGTTTATAGAGGTCGTTCGTTTGGACATAAAACGCGCACAGCCTTTTTGAGAACGTCCTGCTCAGCGTGGGGCTAGGGGCTAGTCGATCTCCCCAAGCGGACAAGAGTACTACAGTATTGCCTCTTCTTTCTCGCTGCGTCTGATCTTCGGTCCCCCACGTTTAGGGTTAAATTGTTGCGGTTCTTGTCTTCTTGTGTCCACCAAGTCCCACCCCAAACAATGTGGCAGGTACAACAAGCAGCTTTGCAACGTGAATACGTCTTTCACAGAGCGTTCAAGGGCCGGTCCTCATTCGGAGACGCCGCGGTCGAAATTTCTAGTTCGTTGAATACGCGCTATTCACACCCTACGTTCAAGCCAGCGTCTTAGGGCTTAACGCATGGAGGTGTTGGTGTCGTGACCTGACCCGACTAAATGAGTAGGAGTATCATACATGCAACACGGACGCGACTTCGCCTTTCCAGATCGCGATACCTGCTTGCAGTTGGCCCTTGCCGCGAAGTAGTGTGAGCAGTCCACCCGGAAAGCTATCGCTCGATCAAATGACTGGGAGAGGGCAAACCATACGATGAGTGCACGCGGACGAAACAAAAGTATGACGATGTGCAGTACAGCAGTAGTCTACTCACTGACGAAGAATTATTGAATATTTTCCATTCCAATGTTCACCCTCTGGCCGTGACTTCAGATTTACACGCAAAGCTGTTTGCATTTAATATCAGGACGGCGTAGACTATGTACGTACTGGCAACATAGTCTACGCTGCTGCGGACGCCGCCCACCAGTCACAATAAATACAGTAGTCCACATGTGTTTTCTTCGGACTCTGTGGTTGGTACGTAGCATGCACGCGCTATCTACTTCCAAGTACAAAGTATTAGTGGCAGGACTCACACAGAGCGCTTTTCCGTACGCCCCCTCTCCGCAGAGCTTTAGCCCCTGATTGTAAGCCGTTGCCGCATCTGTGGCACATACGCCCTCGGTTTTGCTAGCGCCTTGCTTCCCTTTGCCCATCACGACAACAAGCGACTGACTCTACACTCTGCTTGTACACGGACGGGTGATGTGATGTTGTATTCACCACATGAAACCGTCACATCGGACGCGCGCATTGCAGCAGAGTGGAATCGATAAGAGTCGGGACAGGGACGATCGGACCTGGTTATTCGACGTTGGGGACTGGTCTACATAGTCTAACGATTCAACATAGACCTACTGTAGATGAGCCTCCTTTCATTGAGAATGTACAGACAAGGACGTCGACTAGACTCCTATAGTCTATGACGTAGGATACTCGGTGGGCGGTTCTTCCGTCGATAACTTCATCTATCCGCTGACCGCTAATAACGCCCATCCACAAATGGTCTGTTGCCCCTCTAGACTATTTGTTGGTTTAGCGCGATGGATTGACGTGTACATGCGTCTACACCAAGATGAAGATACCATCAGCATCCATCACAGTTATAATAATGCACGTCATGTGTTCTATCAGGAAGCAGCGCCGTAGGGACACCGGCTGCGAGTAGTCTCCAGCGGTATCCAGGGAACATCGAAAAGGCCAATCACACAGGTGCCCGCAGCTGGCTAGGTCAGGCTTCTCTCGGGTGCTGTCTCAGCGATGATGTATAAACCCTGTGCCCTGACAGAAGATGTACATACCATACGCGTATGTAGACACCAGATGACCCTGAAGACACGCATCCATGACGCGGACCGTTCATGACGCGGACCATTCTGCAGAACGGACTTTGAAAAATGCGGCGGGATGTGTAGAGAAGAGGCAAGAATTGTTTTGTGAGGGATAGAACCGAAAATGTACACATCATCAGAGTCCACACCTTTGCTCTCTGCCTCTAGTAACTCACGACCCAGGCAACGCTTCAACGCACACACCACCAGGCCCAGAGGAACGCCAGCTTCGCTCGGTTTTTTTCCCGCTTCCACTTCGCAAGCTCTTCATCAAGGCACCGCCGCTTCCCTCTCGGCTTCAGAAAAAAAGCACCCTCTGATCAACAGAAGGAGGTAGGAAGACGCTGCTGTTGTGGGGAAAGGTGCTACACATTAGATTTCTTGTGGGGGGGTGTCGCGGCCGGCAAGTACCCACAGCCGTCCAAGCACCACGGCGGGGAGCGATTGCACCCACGCAGAGCGAGCTTTGTCTCTGGAGGCTTTCGCCGGTTGCATGGGCGTCTCTCGGCGCCCCTTGCTCCGTTGTAAGTGTGGGGTGATGCGAAGCTGTGCTCTTTGTTCTCGGGAAGTTGCCACTTTGCCGCCCCCCCAGCCGGGGAAGGCAAGTCGGTCCAAAGGGGCATACAGATGGTGGTCTCACACGCATACGTGTACGTTGATTACGGCAAAGCTTGTTGTCGCCGATCGATTAGGAGGTTGTCGATAGCCTACTAGAATACTTTTTGGCATCGAGCTGAGCACACGGCACACACAACTGCTGTCCAGTACTGCTGTATGGTGAACCACGCCGACTTCAACAAGCTTCTCCCCATTCCCCACACGGCATGGAGGCAGTGTCAGCTGGATACCACGCGACCGAACTAGAGCTGCCTTTTTTTTGGTGTGGGAACGAGACCATGGATCTAGGTTTTGCTGAGGCAGCAGGGCCCAGCGTGATCAGTGTTGGCGTTGTTCTTGTTGGTGCGGTTGACGCTTTCGAGCGAGGGCGCTGCTGCGACGAAATCCTCAACACCGGCTGGTGTTCAACGTCGTTTCGTCACCCCAGAGAAATTTCATTCTTTCGATTTGATTTTCTACGGGACGGGGAGGGGTACCGTGAAGATTCGGAGAGATGCACGCCCGTGTTGTAGCGTTTTAGCGTATTATTCAACTACTGCTTGTAGGAGGGTGCGAACACCAACCGATACCTCTCAGGAAAGCCCTCAACGAGATGTCCAATGCTACCTTTTTTTTTTCGGCAGTGGTACAGCCGTACCCCCCTGGTTGTCTCAGCTTCAGTCTCCCACCTAAATTCATTTTGTTGCAAGACCGACCCTCTTATTCCGATCCCCCTTGTACACTTGCCCGACCGTGTCTCAAAAGCCGATTCTCGACCTATGGTATACTAGTGCATCCGAAATCATGGCCAGTCGCCAAGTTTGGTTGACTTCCGTGTGCAGTAGCGTACGTCGCAAGTGTGCGGCCATGTGCGACCATGCGCGCTGTTTCTCTCTCGTCTTAACCGGTCCGCCGTCTTGCTTCCCTATTCTCTGTTGGGAAGATTCGAATCCCAATCCCATGGTCAGCTTGTGTGGCAGCAATCAACAGACCGATGTCGACCTACAGCAGTACGGCGCACGTTTCGCGATTCTCGAGTATGTATGCCTCCCCTCGCAAAGTTTCGTCGACGTCCGCGCGCAGTAGCATACGCCACAAGGTTGCGGCCATCTGCGACCATGCGCGCTGTTTGGTATCTCGTCTTCACCTCGATCGGTTCGCCGTCTCCCTGTCTTCATCGCTCTTCATCGCTTTTTTTGTCTAGTCGAGAAATTTCGGAAAAATCGAATCTCAGGGTCTGGTTGATATCGTAGCAACTAATAACCCTATCGATATGGTAGTTATCGCCCTACGGCGCACGCCTCGCGATTATCTTGAGGATGCCTCGGTAGGCATCATGGTGGTTCGTGGTCCCTCGCCTACATCGTTTCATCACCCTCCGAGCGCAGTAGCATACATGCGCCACAAGAGTGTGCGACCATATGCGACCATGTGCGCTGTTTCTTTCCTCTTCTTCATCGCCGTCTTTCTGTCTTGACCGCTCTTGGTTCTTGTCGACGCATTAATCTATACAAACTCAAGTGAATTAGCACTTTCCGACTTTGGGCAGACGATACATGTCGGAAAGGATCGAATTTCAGTGTGCGCTTCAGCAACCAACGACACCATACGTCCTTTCATTGCACCGGGGGTTGGTTTAGTTCGTGTGTGGGCTGAGTCGGTTGTCATCGCGACCTATTGCCAACAAGTCATGATACGAGCAAAGCGCGCACGGTGGCGCCGATGTGCAAGCAATTCTGCATGAGCTCCAGCAGTGTGCGACCATGTGCATTCATGCGCTCTCTTCGTCGCTCGTTTTTGTGTACATTTTCGGGAAAAAATGGATCTCAAGGGTCCGCGCAGCGTCATCATCCTGCATCATCAGCAGAGATATTTCCGGTGTGCCATACGTAAACAAACTACAGCACGGGCAATGCTGCAGCAAAGATCGGATGAGATTCATTCGCATTCATTCCACGTGTCTCAGCAGTATGCGATATCACACCCCGTTGTACACAAAACGAACACCTGTGTCAAGGGTAACGTTTGGACTCCACAAGAATGTCGTCACGCGCGGGTGTGGTATCTTGTGCAACATACCTCCAAAATTTCCGAAAATTCAAGGCATGGTACAAAAGTGAATGTGGATTGTGCAGCACGGCGAGGGCCGAGAGAATCACGGCAGTGGTACTCTTTGTTTGCGCTGCTGCCTGTGTGGTGCGTGAGCGTGCCCACCTCTCTCTCTGTGAAACAGAGAGGCCGGCCGTTCTTCTCCCTAGCGCTACAAGTATCGCCCGAACTTCCATGTTTATTGTTTTCCCAGCGTCAGAAGCGGCGTCGATTCGCGGTTCTCAGATATTTCGTCGCTGACTCTCCATTCAACTATGACTGATTTTGAGGGGTTAATTGGCAAAACAGCATCCCGTTCCACTCATCATTTCCACTGGTGGTCAGAGACTACAAGGCCCTGCACTGCTGCGCTGACGGCGGCCCTAACAGCGCCCGCGACCAGTATGCCCAACGCACATCGGTGTGGCCGGGAACAGCAAAATATGTTTTTTCGTTTTTTTTTTCTTGTAAAAACGCTCACTTGGGCCTCTTTTTCGTTCCATGTGTTTTTCGTTGCTGGATCAACGTGGGTGTTTCGTCGCCCCCCCCTCGTGCAATGCATCATCACATCCTCTCCGTCTCTCTCTCTCTTAGCTCGTCTACCGTAAGGTCGCGAGTCAGCGCACGGTCCGGGGTCTCCGCACGGTCCGGAGTCATCGTGCAGGGGTGCGATGCAACTAAATGGCGAAAATGTTTAGAAAACGACCGCACGGGGGTGCGCTGACTCGCAGCCTTACGTTACTTTATCTTAAGCCCCATTGATCCCGAAGACGCTTTAGCCAAGGCTCCGTGCTGCTACTGTACAGGTGACTTATTAACCTTGTTTGTTTGTTTGTTTTTTTTGCCCTTCTGCCTGCCGTTCTTTTCCGTCTTGCCTCTCCCCTTCCTCACCTCGCAGCAACATGGCCTGCTGCTTCCAATGCGTCCCCAACGCGGAGATCGGCGTGATCGAAAGGCTCGGAAAGTATCAGGGCCTTGCCCAGCCGGGGTTTACCTGCATCTTGTGGCCGCTCGACAGCGTGAGTGATGGGTTGATGCGTTCTCGTCTTTCGGTCTGGCGGCCTTTTGGACTCTCACCAGGAATGGCAATTTTGGTTCATGCCAATCAGGACTGCATCACCGCAGGTGGGGGAAGGGAGGTCGTCCGGTCGCCGACAACAACAGGGCAAGAATAGCTATCAATGTGGCATATGTGTAGGTGCTCATCATGCATCGTACAGCATCCAATCCCAAGTCGGCGGTAGAACAACATCAATATATCGGTGTAGGTATATCATTCTACATCCCAGGTACACCTCTTGTTCCTTTGCAGCTTTGACTAAAAGCTATCCGTGTTTTTGCTTGCGATCTGATTCTTACTGTTCGCTGCTGTGTGTTTTCGCAGATCGTGGCCAAGCTTTCCACGCGTGTGCAGCAGCTTGACGTCCGCATGGAGACCAAGGTGCTCGTGCATTGCATGTCCGACCGTCCTCCCACTCTCTCCGGCGTCCTGCTCCAGCACTCCTCAAACTGCTGTCGCGTGTGCCCATCGCCAGTAGATGTCGTCGTCGTCCACTCTGAAAGCCAAGGGGATTTTTTTTTGTTTTTCCCCGATGGCCCTGCTGCCTATCGTCGTGGTCGCGGTTTCCCCTCGTGGAGGGAGCAGTCATAGGGCGTGGTATGCATATATGTATTTATGGCCGAACATTAAACTCAAACTGGGACGATTGTCAGATGCAGCAGCAACGTCGCCTCGTACTGGGGGTAAGATAAACGATTTACCACAACGCTCTGCTGCTGTGCGCACGATGATGCTCGATCCCCCTTACGTGTCCCTCCTTCCTTCCTTCCCTCCCTCCCTCCAAATTTCGTTCGTGTTCGATGCATCCGATCATTTTGTCTGTTGCTTTTAAACATGCCTCGTACGAGTTGTGTCCGTTGAATTTTGATTCCTCATGACGCCCACCGTTCTTTTCTTTTTTTTGTCGTCGTCGCCATTGTTCTCTCACTGTGGGGTGTGCTGTCTGTCTCCAGACCAAGGACAACGTGTTCGTAACGGCGGTCGTGTCCGTTCAGTACCAGCCCATCAAGTCAAAGGTGAGTGTAGTAGTTAGGTGTGTGGAGTTCGGCCTTGCGGTTCTTGTGGCCGTCCTGCGGTCTTTCCGTCCCGGTTTTGTAACGGGTGTACGGTAGTCAACAGCCGGGAATACGCAAGGCGTGTGGGTTGATTCATGCCCTACTTTTCGCTTGTTATGTCGTCGTCCTACGGTACAAAGTAGACTTTGACACACTGGCAGGGGGTGATTCGTTTTTGTTTTTTTTCCATGCTCTCAATTTCCAGTTGTAAATTATCTCCCGAGGGCACGTGTTTCGGTTCTGAAGACCAGAGATGAGTGTCCTGTGTGGCAGCTGAAGATCCGGCGCCTCCCTTCCCACCGCACGGCCTTGTGCTCATCGCTCTTGAGATGCACGCACGTCACGGTGCCCCGTTATCGCCGCCGTTTGTGGTAATACCGATTAACATACTATCACGGTGTAAATGGTGTAACCGTAGTCCCTGAACCGCTTTGTTCTGACTTTGCTTTTGTGCCGCGTGTGTCGTGTGTCCTGACTTTGCTTTTGTTGTGCATCCTCTTGGCGTCTCTGCGACGTCGAAACGACACGTCGAAACGAAACGGCACGTTGAAACGAAACGACACACCAGATTTACGACGCGTTCTACAGGCTCACCGACCCGCAGGCGCAGATCCGTTCCTACGTGTACGACGTGGTCAGAAGTGAGTGTGTGCTGCGCTCCTATTTTGATATCTTGCCAACAGTTTTTTTTGTTTTTGTTGCAATCCTTGTCTACGTGCAGCGATCGGCCGCGTTCGCTGTATACCCACAATAATCTGTTGTGTGTGCAGCGCTGGGGAGGTTGGGGGCGCGGCTTGACATCCAATTTTGCGTTGGCGGTGGTATTCCTACTGACTTTTCATGTCTTGTAGTTCTGGTGAAGGGCTGGGGGGCGCCCAAGGCACATACCATGATCTCGTAGTGGCGTATTTGTGTCACCGGTCCTCGTCATGACGAAAGAAAAAGACCGGCTGATATCTGTTAGCCGGCCGCGTTGTATTGTGAAATAAGTGGCCTCTGTTGCGCGCGGGGGTCTGTCTTTAGCACGTGTGCCACAGGCTCCGCTTCCCGATCGAAGAGTGCCTGCAACGCGATGCGCGCTTTGAGGGTTGTCGTCAACAACGTTTATTCGTTGTATGCGCGCAGCAGGTGATCGTCGGTGTTACGAGTTTCTGAGAGATGCTTTCCCACAAGTAGGTCGGTGGTTCCGTACACAGACTCACTAGGCAGTTTCGTTCCTCGTTCGTGTGGTGCTTGTTTTTTGTTCACGCACGCCCCCATCCAATTCTTCTGACGCCCGTGTTTTCGTCTGCCGTCGATTTCGGCAACAAACATTTCAACACTGCGCCAACGCAAACCCTCTCTTCCGCTTTGCTTTTTTGTTATTGTTTTTTTTGTTCCCGTCCGGCGAATCGTCATGTGGTGCGCCGCGTGTTCCTTGGCCACGCCGTGCCACCAGGTACCCTGCCTAAGTTGGACCTTGATCAGGCGTTCGACTCGAAAGAGGTATGTACTTTCGCTGGCTTGGTGTATATCGCGGAGCCCCTAGAAATATTGGCAATATGGAGAGTACGGTGGTGTGTAGCAATAGCAATTGATGGAATCATATGACCCATGTGTTTGAGGACTGGTGCTACTGTGGCCACGCCGTTCTTTGCTTTTTCCTTCCAAGCAGCGGTCTTTTATTAAAAGCGGGCGTCTTGACAGCTCTTGTGGCTGCTCGCCGCCATGCGCTTGAACAGGGCTAGACTTGTTTGTGCGTCGTCTCTCTTCCTTTTCCCCTTCATGTGTGTGTGTGTGTTTTCGTCCTATTTGTTCCGGCTTCTTGTAGTACAAACCATTTGTGCATGTGTACATACATGACTGCATAGTGCCTACATACACATCGAGTGGCAGCATTTTTTGCGACCTACGACTACAATATACCGTGCTTGAAGGACCTGCTTGCTGGAAGAGGCCATGAGATCGCGCGCTCTTGCTTGCTTGCTTGCTTCATGACAGCGAAAACGATCACGCGTGATGACGACGTACCACGCTTCATGCTTGCTTGATCATGGCAAATGAAACGAACCGATTTCTTCGGTGAAGACAATTTTGTTTCCCTCATACTGGTTCCTTTCAAAAACGCTTGGTGGTGCTAATGTTGGGACGGAACAGGACATCGCCATCGCGGTGAAGAACCAGCTTGAGGAGGTGATGCAGGAGTATGGTTACCAGATCCTGCAGGCCCTGGTGACCGACATGGACCCGGATGCCCGCGTGAAGGGGGCCATGAACGAGATCAACGCCTCCAAGCGGCTGAGAGAGGCGGCCACCAACAAGGCCGAGGCCGACAAGATCATGCAGGTGCTGTTTAGACGTTTGTTTTTTGGCTCGCTTACCACAAAGTACTGGACATGTGTTTGGTTGGGTCGTACATGGACGTTTGTTTTTTTGGGTCGCTTGCCTCAATGTGCTGGACAGCTTTTGTGGTTGAGTTCTGCTGATTACAAGCGCAACTAGTGGTTGTGGCGGATACAACGGTTCGCTGATCCTGCCCGTTGGCTTGGATGGTTTCGATACGAGTGTTGACCGGCTGCATGCAGCATTGACACCGATTCCTTGCCTGTGATATTTTCTAGTGGCGCTATACCTAGTAGCGGTCTTTGGATCGTTCATTTGACATCGTCGTGTGGCTTCTACCACTAATATATATATATATATATTTATTATTATTTTTCCATCTGACCGGTGACGTCGATATTTCTGCGACGTTGCTCTCCCGGCACGTGTGCTTGCGATTCTCAGAAAATAACATGGTAATCAAAGACCGCAACCCGTCAAAAGATAAAAAGATATATATATATATATACCCACAGCAGTCGTACTTTTTTTTCGTAGCGCTGACCCCCAAACGGCGGTGGCGTGTCCTTCCTTTCTGTCTTTCTTTCTTTCTTTCTTTCTTGTCGTTCTTTTTTTTTTTTACGCACGCAGGTTAAGGCGGCTGAGGCAGAGGCAGAGTCCAAGTACCTGTCCGGCGTGGGTGTGTCCAGGCAGCGCAAGGCCATCGTCGACGGCCTCCGCGACTCCGTGCAGACCTTCTCCGAAACCATCGACGGTGGGTTTTGAGTCACGTTGTTGGAGCACGCAAGATCCGACACACACACGCCGGCCAAAAATGTTGTGCTTGCAGGGTGTGGCGAGGGTGGTGTGGTAGTAGTGTAGCCGTTGCAAGCTTGCAAAGGAGCGGCGTTGCGACGGCGGTAATGTTGTGTTTCCACAATGCACGTATCGGAGTGTAGTCGCACAAGCCGAATCGCAGAGACGGCAGCGGCAAACGAAGGCAACACGATCATGATCGTGCACTCGGACAAAAGGACGAACACGGTCGCCGGTGTTGCTCTTTCATGGTATCTTAATCTTTTGTCATGTAATCGTAATCTTTTGTCGACTCAGTTTTCGTTTGGGCTTGCTGTGTCGGTTTGCTGGACTTTCGGGTAGCCTTCCCCAGAGGCAGCCAAGCCGTACCGGTGCCCCCCGAGTCTGATCCTCCGCGTCACTGCCCGTAAGGTGGGGGCAGAGGAGGCGCGCCTAAACACGCGCCGTGGTGGTTGCGGAAAACGCACGCAAAACGCGTCTGCTTTCGAGTTCGTGGGCTCTTGCTGCACAGGTTAAAAAAACAATGCCTCGTTCACACTTTGCTTTCGATCGAAAAAGAGAACGACGTTCCGTTATTCATCCTCCGCCTCCGTTGCCGTTGTATGGCAGGCAGCTGTTCTGTTGCCTCTCCTCTCTCCTCTGCTCTGGCTTCCTCTTTCCTTACGGAATTGTACGGTACGGGCGTTTGCTGATACTCTTCCGCCGTGATCATCCTGCTTGTCATTTGCTGCAGGGACTTCGCCGAAGGACGTGATGGACCTGCTCCTGCTGACCCAGTACTTCGACATGCTCCGCGACGTGGGCCAGTCCTCTCGCGCGGCGACGGTGTTCCTGCCGCACGCGCCGCAGTCCGTGGCCTCCTTGCAGGGCGCCATGCGCGACGGCTTCATGCAGGTGTGTATGCATACAATTTGAAGTATTTCAATATGTTTAAAATATACTGATATGAAAGACAACGAAACTATTAATCTGTTCTCAGCACGGCGCACGCCCTGCACATCTGAATGTGCGTAGCCCCCCCGGTTCGAATCGCGCTTCGGCGGGCAGGCAGGCGAAAATATTGTACGCGACGATGTAAACGGTGTGTAGGCTAGGCTGCTGTACGGCTCACACGCGCTGCCCAGTAAGCCTGCTCAGGTTTTTATTGTGATGTACATCTTGGATCAAGTATGGGATCGGTGGAAACCCGGGGGTTAGTGTTCGGGTCCTCGCAACCCCTTCCTCTCTATTTCATAGATAAACACTTCATTTCTTCACGTACGCAGTCCTTGCTGTTCCTGTCGGGGGTCCCCGCGGACCGGTAAATGATGTGCCCCCCGGGTGAGACTGGCGGCGTGGCACCCTCTTAATCAGTCAACCGGCAAGCAGAAACAAGCAAGAGGTCGATGAGAAGGGAACTCCTGTAGTGTCTACTTGTAAGCTTTTGGCCCAACGTTTGGAGGGGTGTGTGCCCTTCCTCCCGCGGTTGCCCTGATCGCCCCGTTGCGCCCCGCCCCCCCCTACCTCCCCCCTCATGCTTTCTCGTTCTTCCCGCCCTTGTTCGCGTGCCCTCCTCTCTTGAAAATCGTCATCAGGGGCAAGCCGGCAGCGAGGGTCTCGCTTCTGCGCAGATGATGAACCGCTAAGATTGAAACGCCCTGTTTCTTTCTTTTTTCCCCACACAATTAAGTGTAGACACCCCCCCCCTTGGTTTCGGTGGTACTGTAGGAGGAACGTAGTCGTTGGGGCGTTGGCGGCAGCGGGTGCGGTGCTTTTGACTTTCGGCTCCTCTTTTTTCAACCATGAAGAAATCACGAAGTAGTAGGATGTTTTGCGACTCGTTGTCGTTGGTTTTGGCCCTTTTTTTTCAACCAAGAAAAAACGTGTAGCATGTTTTGGGGCTCAGTTGTCGTTGGTTTGCCCATGTGGGAGTTTGGCTTTCAACATGACAACCGTTCGTTCGCTCTTCTTGTTGAAATTGCGCCGCTTTTGGAAGAGACACACAAATGAATACCTTTTAAGATCGTTTTGCCTTTACTTTTGTGCTTCGTGATAGTTTGTTATGTTCTGTGTGGATGGATGCATGGATCTATATTCTCACAGGAGGGCCAGAAACTTGTTGTATGATTCGGTCACCCGCCTGCTCGGCGGTGTTTTTTTTTTTGTTGTGCCCAACGCCAGGCCCCGTACGTGTTCATTGGCAGCAATCGCCGGCAAGGACGCCCAGTAGGTGTATCGAATGGGTCGGGCAACCCCGCGGCTGTTTTTTTTGGGGTGGTGGTGTTGTACAGCTGAGGTCTCTGTTTCGTGCCGGTTGAATAGTGCCGGTTGAATAGTGCCCGGTACAGTGCCGGTGTTTTCGGCGGGCACACACTGAATTTCTGAGTCATTCTGAAAGTTTTCAGTGGCGCACACTAAGCAGGGCCTCTAACCTACTGCTGTACGGTATCTCCTTTGCCTCACCCGCCTCGCTTGTGTGTGTGTGCCGTTCTTTGGTGTGTCAGCTCTCGCCGCTTAAAACACTCAGCACTCCTTCGTGACGGACGCGCAGGGAGGGTTAGGCTTTGAGAGTGCTGCCGAGACCCCGACAGCTGACCAATAGGAGTAGAGCTTGCTGCCTGAGGTGTTTTTTTCGTTTCTCACAGTACTGTTAGAAACCCTCATTCTAGAAGCCACAGGTCGACCCTGTTACTCTTACACGTTGTTGTTTCCGTTATTCCCATTAATAAGAAAAGCCGTTTCGGTCTCTGCTCAGAAGTACCTTCTGTGTACCGTGCTTAGTCCAACGGACGTCTTGCGTGGTTATTAACAGTAGTCTACATGCTGAAGGCTCTCCAAGGCAGTGGATACATGTCGATGAGAATAACGAGAACCCAGAAAATCAATCGTTGCAAAATGACTACACCCAATCACAGGAAAGTGGACATTTTTGTGGTTGGGGAATGAAGGCCGGGGGTCTTCACGTTTTTTCCTACTCGAGATCGGCTTCTGGTCATGATTTCGTTGTTGTTCCAGCAAGCAAGGGAAAGAAGGTGTGAGCGAGGGCCATGCATACAGCGTCCGAAACGCGACAAAGGTCTAGAGAACATGAATTTCTCCGTGAAACATTACCTCTCTCTTCTGCGCCCTCTGCTTATAGTGTCGTTATCCAGCAATTGGGTATTTTTGGATGAGGCAGGTGAACCTTGGCCCTCAGAAATCCGCTGTGCTGGTGATTATTGTCAGCGCGGCATTATACTTTAGCCAACCACGAAAACGATCCAACGGTTCAGTTACAACCATGGCAAGTGCATCTCTACCTTTTCACGCCTTTGGGGGAAATGCTTGAAAGGTTTACGTGTCATCAGTAGATATTGTAGCTGGGCCGGAAGCTGGGTATGGCGTACTCGTGCCGAGTCGGTTCCTTACTACACTGCTGTGCTGTAGGCTCCGCGAACTACATACTGCTGTACACGTCCTGTAGATACCACACCCCATGGACACATTCTCGAAGCACCATTGCTCGATGATGAAGAGGACGTGGCAATCAAATGCTTTGTTTTCGGAAGGCTTTCGACAGCACGGTGCTAGCACGGACATTTCCGACGACACACCATTGCTGTTTTTCTGCAAAACTATCGAGCTTTGAGAGTCGGTGCAGGGGGGAGTGGTATCTTACGTATCCCACCGGACTGTCATATTTTTTCCTGGATCTTTGGATCCTGGACTGGATATCCACGAATAACGGACGACGGACGACAGAACTTTTCGTGCCATTCTCAGGCGGCGCAAAATCTGGGAATTCCTCGTTGCTTTGCACTGTGCACAGGCTACCCTACACAACCTCTCCATCGATCGACCCCTTGTTGCTGGTGCCCAAACAGCCGTGGGCCGCACGCGCAGCCTGTTTCTTCGTGGAAAGGTGTGTGCACTCGGCACAATCCAGGGCGGGGGGAAAGCAACGTATAGCAACCACGGCTCGCGTTCACGACACCGCTGGGTTTTCGAGGACGCCCCCCAGGTATGCCCCTAACTCTCGAAGTAAATAATACGGTGAATAAATAAGTCGAATGAAATGCCTCCAGGGGTCATTCATGTAGATTCGATGGGATGATGCCCAAAAGCTTGACGAGTCGACAGAACTCCGCTGCACTCAAGCGGATTTGATGGATAGCGGTCATTGATTGGAAGGAGCAGCTGGCGGTGGTTCCGTTTGCGAGAGGACACATCGTTTGTTTGAGTGTTTGCGGCCTACGCCACATATTTATCGAGTGAGACTGTTTAGGTGATGTGTTTACTTCACGAGAGGTAGGCGACCGTCCTTCACACGGACGAAAGCGGGAGTGCTCCACACAGAGCAGCTCCAACAGGAAGGAGGGGCCCCGTGACTCATCACGGTGCCCCCTACCAAACGGCAATCTTACCAATCTGCGTGACATCAAATCATACAGCACATGTATCCAACACCAATGTTCGCAGACCCACGAACACCCTCCCTGGTTCTTCACGCAAGTGACTAACCATCAATGGGGCAAGGACGCCCCTGGATACATCAGAAATACCAACGTGGTAATATGTGGAGGGGAAACCCGGCGTCCGGGCAAAACCCCTCGAAAAAAAAACTACCACCACAAAAAAAAAACGTCGCTATCACAGCGGATCACAACGGCCGCACTTATTAGAAAGTCCAATGCAAGTGCTAAAACCAGCTACAGCTACAACTGCGGCAAATTCATCAACTTGCGCCGGTGGTACTGCAGACTGACCCTGCTAAGGGCCTTGGTTAGGAGGTCTGCGTGTTGCTCCGTTGTCGGAACGAACTTGACCGAAATATCCCCCGACCTAAACAATCCGCGGATAAAATGAAACCTCACGTCGATGTGTTTCGTGCGACCTGAGCAGAGGGAGTTCTGCACCAACGCTATGGCCCCCTGGTTGTCCTCAAGGACCTGGATGCTGCTACCACTGGTCTCTGGGGCAACAAACGAAAGCACAGCACGCACAAACAACGCCTCCTTGACGCCCTCCCCAGCAGCAATGTACTCGGCTTCCGTCGAAGACAAATACACGATGCTCTGTGTCTTGCTACCATGGCTGACTACGGTACCTCCAACCGTCGCTGCCGACCCTGACACCGAACGCCTATCCTCCGTGTCGGCGTAGCTAGCGTCTACGTACACGGCCAGCCCTAACCCCGATCCCCGTTGGTAGGTGATGCCGAGATCCCTCGTCTGCTTTAGGTAGCCGAGGATCTTCTGTATTGCACCCCAGTGCCTCTTCGCCGGGGCGTGGGCGTGGCGCGCTACCGCACGCACGGCGAACGATACGTCTGGACGCGAGAACGTCGACACCAACATCGTGCTGCCGATGGCCTCCCTCACCGGCCACTCCCCTCCCTTCTCATCATCTCGCTTCGGTCCTAGGTCGGCACCGGGGGTAGCGGGGATGTGGGAGGTCGATTGCACATCAAAGCGTTTCACCATGCTGTCAATGTACGCGGTTTCGGAGATTCTAAGAGTCCCAGCCTCTACATCTCTCTCGATGGCAAACCCGTCAAACCATTCGCACTCTCCAAGGTTTTTGGTGGGAAATTTCTTGTTGAGAGAAGCAAGCAACTCCTCACAATCCTCGTCAGACCCAGCCACCAAAATGTCATCCACGTAGATCACGATAATCATCACCACGACTTCGTCTGCCATCGTGCGGAAAACACACGGGTCCGCCTTGCACTGTTCGAACCCGTTCTCCACCAGCGTATCAGCAGCGTGGTACCCCCACTGCCTACCGCTCTGCTTCAGACCGTAAATCGCACGCTCAGCCTTAACAATTTTATGCGATTTTTCCCCGCACCCAGCGGGGAGCCTCAGAAAAACCTCCTCGTCTAGCGTGGCGTGTGTGTGTACGCCTGCTTCACATCCCAGTGGTTGAGGTTCATGCCCTTCTCGTTTGCTACCGCAAGCATCAGCTTAATGGATGCGGATGAGGGGCAAGGGGAAGACGAATGGAAATAATCGACGTTCGGGATTTGCGAAAACCCCCTAGCAACCCTACGCGCTCGTGTGCGTGATTAACCAATATAATCAAACTAGTGGCGTCCCACGAGCTAAGTGAATCCCCCATACGCAAGCGTCCGAGTGATGTAGACCCCCCCCCCATGACCGTAGCTGGCATTGCCAAGTCTGTGTACAGAGAGGGGTGGGAACAGGCCATGAGGGAAGAGTTTGAAGGGCACTTGGGCACGGGGACGTTTTCATTCGTAGATGGCACGCCAGAGGGGCGCAGGCCTGTGAGCTCAAAGTGGTGTTTTAGTTGGAAGACGAAGACCAACAAGGAAGGGAAGATAGACAAGCTCAAAGCGCGTGTGGTTGCTAGGAGGTTTTCGCAAAGTCGAACATCTTCCGCATCAAGGCCTGTTTTTTTTACCCCTGTGACTCTGGATCGTAGACCTTTTCCAATTCCGCGAGGACCTCTTTCGCTGACGTACAGTTGCTGATGATTGCTTTGTCAGCTTCTTTTACCATAGCAGTAGCGATAAAATGGAACGCCTGAAGCCCTCGTTGGACTTCTACTCTCGTGTGCCCCCTACGGAGCAGTTCGGAAGTCGACAAGTTTGGGTCGCCGACGGGGATACTGCTCTCTGCATCCCCTATAAACTGCCCGTCCAAGTCGATGGTCTTCGCAGCTTGGATGAACGATTTTCGCCACGAATCAAATCCGTAGCTACATCACTCGGACGCTTGCGTATGGGGGATTCACTTAGCTCGTGGGACGCCAGAGCCGTCTCGAAGGCGTCTGGCGAGTTGAGCTTGAGGTCCACCGCACCCAGCCGGAAGTCCTCTGCTTCTTGGCGCGCAGCGTGGGCCTCCTCCGCGCGCTCGACCAGCAACTCTCGCACCACCCTCGCCTCTAGCCCCTCCGCCACGTGGAGTACCGCCGAGAGCATCCAGCGGGTGAACTCCTCCGTGCTGCTGACGGGCAGGCTCGCCACCGAGGCGAGCAGGGCTTCGGCACTTATCGGGGACGGGGGCGACTCGTACCTCGGGTTTCTGCGAGGGTTTTCTCTGGTGCGGCGGCTGGTGAGTTCCGCCGGCTTGTCGAAGCGGGCGAGCCGCCGGGCCTCTGGCCCGCGGAGCGCCAGGAGATCCGTCTCGCTATCGCTGCCGCTGCCGCTGCCGCTGCCGCTGCCGCTGCCGCTGTTGATGCCGCTGTCGCTGCCGCTGCCACTGTTGCTGCCTCTGTCGCTGCCGCTGCCGCTGCCGCTGCCGCTACCGCTGCCGCCGTTACCGCGGCTGCTGCTGCTGCGGCGGTCGTCCTCGCCGCCGGCTCTACGCGCGCGGGCGGCCCCGCGACCCCCGGGGCTGCCGTCGTGCCAAGGTTGAAACCTGGTCCTCCATCCACAGGTTCTCCCTCCGCCCTCCCTCCACCTTGGCTCGATGCGCCCTCCCCAACCTCGTCCTCCTCAGTCGCGAATTCCTCTTCCTCCTCTGCGATGGGAGGCAGCGACTGGGGCAGGGCGGTGGGGGCGGCGGGTACGGATTGCCAGGTGAGGTTGCGAGTTGTTATCGCTTGGCTTTTTTCGTCCAGAAGCGGGGCATTGACCGTCACTCTTTTCTGGTGGCTACTGCTGTAGCCGTCGAGGTATTCTCAATTTCCTCGAATCACGGGTATCTCACCTGGGGGGTTTAATCCCCTCGCTTCCCCGTAGTCTGGTCCACTGCCCGGGCCCACTCCGGCTGGTCTCGCAGGGTTCGCTTCCAGCAGCTGCCGTGGTCCTTGCCCACCATCTCTCGCTTGCTGCTGGAGAAATGCCCCGCCTCCGCCGTGCGGCTGCAGGGGCTCCTTCTTCTTCATCGACTCCTCCACCAGGGCCGCCAATTGGGAAATCTGCAGTTGCAAACTTGCAAGCTCTGCATTGCGGCCCTCCTCCACCGGCGGGCGGATCTGTTCTCCGCTCGCAGCAGTGGGCACCTCATCTCCGGTAGAGCTCATCCCGATGTGGCTTCCCTCGAGGGCCAAAACTCTAGAGTGTTTGAGTGTTTACGACCTACGCCACATATTTATCGAGTGAGACTGTTTAGGTGATGTGTTTACTTCACGAGAGGTAGGCGACCGTCCTTCACACAGACGAAAGAGTGACAGTGCTCCACACAGAGCAGCTCCAACAGCAAGGAGGGGCCCCGTGACTCATCATCGTGCTCCCTACCAAACGGCAATCTTACCAATCTGCGTGACACCAAATCATACAGCACATGTATCCAACACCAATGTTCGCAGACCCACGAACATCGTTTGGGACCACTGTATAAATGCATGTAGCCCCAATTTGCGATCGAGCTGTGCAGAGCGTTGGCAATAGAGCCGTTGTGGCAAATTTCAAATTTCCAACAACTGCACATCTCTCATACCAGGATACTCTCTCGACAGCGCAACTCGTACATTTATACATGCGCACGTGTCCCAAATCCTTTTCAAGCGGATTGAACCTGTAAAAGAGTAGACTAAGGTTGAACGAATCCAACCCCTCACTGTGACCCTCGTTATCTAAGCGCGTCACAAGTAGCAGCGACAGAGAGATGCGAAGCCACGAAGCAAACGTGGCGGGAAGACTTAATTCTTACGAACGCCGAAAATTATCATGCAAAACATTGCCGCCGTGTAACGACGAATGAATGTAGACTACTGCTGTAGTAGTGCTGTTTCGAACCTGCAGCACCATCAGCCCAAAAACAAGTTCTGTACATTCTCTGCGCTGATCTCCGCGATGGCGCAACTCTTTCTGGTTGTCCGCAGCGCGAACATGGCGTTCTGCTTCCAGTGTGTCTCAAACTCTGAGGTCGGCGTTGTCGAGCGGCTAGGGAAGTTCACCGGGCTGGCCGCGCCGGGGTTGAACTGCATCCTGTGGCCAATCGATGTCGTGAGTACGCGCTTGCCTTTGTTTCTGTTGGATGTGTCTACCGTTGTCATAAAATGTCCCCTCTGTAGCGCCCCGTGCGTCGTGAAAGAACTTGTTGGTTCTTGTCCGGTTTCACGACGACATCTGAGTCTCCGCCCCCCCTCCTACCCCGTGCGTTCTGTCCATCTACGTGCGTTCTGTCCATCTATTATCTGCAATAAATAATACCACAAACTACAGATTGTTGCCAAAATATCTACGCGTGTTCAGCAGCTCGATGTCCGCATGGAGACCAAGGTGCGACGTGTAGCATAGCCACGAAGAACAGTGACCCACCACGCAATGATTGGGCGTGTGCCTGGACGCGAGCTTGTTCAGCATTTATAGGTTTCGTGACGCGGGTTGTTTTGCGGACAACATGAAGAAAGTCGAAATATTTTTGGTCATCATTTGGTGAGAAGCGGACTTAGGTACGTAGTCCAAGAGAGGCTAGTGCCGGGGGAGAAACCGGATTTATTTTATGACCCTTGGAGAAAGGTCCGTCGGGGTAGACACTCTTTAGATAACCTTGCTCGTGTCCACAAAACGCCCCGGTTCTCTCGTTTCGATTGACGTGCTGCTGTCGTATTGTCGCCAACAATGATAATGCCGTTTCACACCCCCACGTGCTCCCATGGAATGTATGTACGCCGCATGCATGTGGGCCACGTTCGCCAACCGAACATCGACGACGTCGTCGCTATCACCGTCACCAGACGAAGGACAACGTGTTCGTGACGGCCGTCGTGTCCGTGCAGTACCAGCCCATCAAAGAAAAGGTCCGTAAAAAAACTACAATCACCTGCAACAAACTGTGAGTTTTTCCTTTCTCCGCGCAACGTTTCTCGAGGTCACGCGGGATGACAAATAAAGGACCTACGTACTTCCATATAGGCAGTGCTTCCTCAACCTCGCATGTATGTATTGTTAGGATGATCCGAACTGGGGGTAGCTTGTCGCAAGACGTGTGTTGAATAGGGTGTCGGCAACTCGGCGAACTCGCGCCAAGGAGGAAAGATGTGCTGGGCTTGTTGTATAGACTTCTTCTTCACATGAAAAACATGGACTCACATGAACACATGAACGAACATGGACACATGGACACATGGACAGACATGGACTGCACGCACGCGTGCACGCACCACCATGAGGGGGCGACGCAGTATACAACAGGGGTACCTTGCACACCCTGGAAATACATTCCACGTACCACACAATCCTACAACCACTTGGCATTGCTACAAGTATATCTATCAGCCCCCCTGCTTGTGACCATGCCATGTCTTTTTCGATCCTCAAGAACTCCAAAACACAAGAAAATAAACTCAGAAAGTCAACTCAACTCCAGAACAATAGCCTCACTGGCTAGACATCAATTCCCATCCCCGGTCATATCAGATATACTTCTTCGAGCTTCAGTGAACTAATTGCCCCCCAGCCTAGAACACCATCCATTGAGAAAATCCATAGGCAAAAATGCAAAATGTTGCCGCCTTAGTTGTTTGATCACACACAAAATAAACCCAAACATCAAAATATTAATCCATACTCATTACGAAGTTACGATGAAACTCGAAATTTCCCACGTTAAGTGCCTTCGTGAGGAAGTCAGCATGTTGATACGCCGATTCCACGTGAAAAATCGAAATCTCCTTCCTGCATACCAAATCCCTGATAAAGTGGTGCCTTACGTCGATGTGCTTCGAGTTACTGTTGCTAATCGGGTTCTGCGCCAACTGAATAGCCCCCTGGTTATCCTCGAACACCGGAATACACGGCATATCGGCAACATGAAACGCCATACTTGCCTCAGAAACAACACTTCCTTCATCACATCCGCAAGAGAGACATACTCCGCCTCTGTCGTGCTTAACGTAACGCACTTCTGCGTCCTTGAAAACCAAGAAATACATCCCCCCCCACACATCACCAACCCTCCTGACACAGACCTCCTATCGGCAGCCTTACTTGCATAGTCTGCGTCTGCGAACACCTCCATGCTCAACCCTGCTACACTACCCCTCCTGAATGAAATACCCAAGTCACTAGTCCTTACCACATACCCCAAAATACCAAGACCTGCTCTCCAATGAATTTCTTTGGAAGAAGCACACTACCGTGCTACCGCTCTCACTGCGTTCGCGATATCTGGCCTCGTTTGCGTTGCCAGCCGCATCAATGATCCTATCAGCTCACGAAAAGGCCTTGATACCACTTCTTCATCCTGGTCAAACTCTGAAAGCTTCAACCCTACAGGAAGAGGAATTTCCTTCCCGTACTCTACCCCAAACTCCATCCCCAACTCTTCAGCGTACGTCTGCTTCGAGGTCTTCAAAGTCCCTGCATCCCAATTTTCCAAGAATAAAATCTCCTCTACCACCTGCTCCCTCAGGTTGTGATCGCTGTTCACAACCAAACATCCTGTGAAAACCTCGAAAATAAAATCCTACTCGTTCAGGCTCGACCTCGTACTCAAAAAGACCAAACACAAAGCCGAAGCAACACAAACCAAAGCCAAAACAATGAGAACACCAAATAAGAAAAGTCACACCATTGGTCACACGAAGTATTTTTGCCGGCCCATCAACCCCAGCGCTTTCATCCATCCCTCCTGCCACTGCTTCTTCCCCGCGGTAGCCACCCTCGCCTCTGCCGCGGCCACCCTTTTCTGCTGGCATGGCCGCGGCTCAGGCTTCATCAGGTGCCACGTATCCGCCTGGGTGGGGTGGGTGCAGCTGTCTCTCCGGGGGGATTGACTCGGCAGTGCAGGGGAGATTGCGCATCCGAAAGGGAAAGGCACAGGCAAAATCAGTCACCCAAAGCGTCAATTTAGCACGTGGCACTGCTGGGGAGAATACCTTGCAATACGCCCCCTGTTCTGCGCAGCAGTGATCGTTGTCTTTCGCATTCTGTACGACATCATGGTTACCTATCAAATCGAACGCCAATCTACGACTGAGGTTAATTACTCCTCTTTCGTAAAAGTGACACAACGATTCTTGCGATTTGTCTGACAAGGTTAATTATTCCTCGGTCACGCAAACAACAATGTTGGATCCATGTTAGAGCTTACACAGCTGTGTTTCTGATCAACAACCCAACACATCTTCTTCTTACTGGTGTGCAACCACTGCGCTGCTTTCGTGCATACAGTGTTCTGGTACGAAATGGAGATCATTTCCATGTATTCCTGTCGGTTACACAGACCCCTGACCAAATTTCCAAGTGTATCCCCCTACAACTCCTACCGCTAGACATGCAACAGACTCCTGTTCGTAACACGCAACTCATTGTCGGTAGAGGGTACAAAGATTCATGACGTCTTCGCATTCCCGTTATCGACGTGAACGCAAAAATAATGAGTCGGAGATCAATCTCTGTATTTTAACACATACGGGACAAAATATTCCCATCAACTTCAAAGCACTCAAGAAGGTATATGCAGCAGCTTGGTTAGGATTCGCTGATAATCTCATCTAATCTTTCAGTTTCTGTGGGTGACTGGCAACCTTACGTGGCGTAGTAGCCATACAACCTCGCAGTTTTGTGTGGGTGACTGGCAACCTTACGTGACGCAATAACCATTTAACCTCGCAGTTTTGTGTGGGTGACTGGCAACCTTACGTGACGCAATATCAATTTAACCTCGCAGTTTTGTGTAGGTGACTGGCAACCTTACGTGAATCAATATCCATTTAACCTCGCAGTTTTGTGTGGATCACTGGCAACCTTATCAAGAATAGAACGCCCTTTGATGGGGTCTACTGCTGTACCTTTCAGGAAAAACATGTGCATGATGATGACGCGTATGTATGCAGAACTCAACAAGGTGTGCTGTAGGTTTATCGGAGCACACCCAAACGAAATCGACGAAGACAAGCATGCAAGCATATACCAAAACCACTTCAGACGTAAAACGGTGAGCAGATCATCACGTGCCTGAGCGGATCTACGACCTTAGTAGGCGCATGCTGATGGTGTTGCTGCTCGGCATCTCCAGTGTTACAACAACATTCGAAATTGGCTCTCAAAAACCTGTACTCCAACCTGGACATCGCCAATAATAGAATCAAACACACCCGTAAATGGGGCTACATGTATTACATACAGGACTGACACGGATGGTGTCCTTAGGGGGTAAGACTTCCCTGGTTTCTTCCCCCGGGGTGTTGGTCCTCCGCATTGCCCGCGCGAAGGACTCAACGAGACGGTCCTCCAACGATCGTGGCTGGTCTTCAGGTTGCGGGTCTAACGCTGTTCCAGCCGGCTGAGCATGCCGGGGATCGCCTCCATCGGGGGGCTTGTCCACGCTCTCTGATGCGGGACGCTTCTCTTCGGTAAACTTGATTTTTTCTTGTACTCCTCTCTCCACTTCCTCTTTGATGTGCGCCGATAATGCTTGGCGGTCCTCTTCAGTTAAGCTGCTGAGGTCGAGGGCTTCCATGATCTACTTCTCTAGCCGAACCCTTTTATAGCTAACCTCACCTCGGGATCCCGTGTGATATCACACGCTAGCGTGTTAGGATGATCCGAACTGGGGGTAGCTTGTCGCAAGACGTGTGTTGAATAGGGTGTCGGCAACTCGGCGAACTCGCGCCAAGGAGGAAAGATGTGCTGGGCTTGTTGTATAGACTTCTTCTTCACATGAAAAACATGGACTCACATGAACACATGAACGAACATGGACACATGGACACATGGACAGACATGGACTGCACGCACGCGTGCACGCACCACCATGAGGGGGCGACGCAGTATACAACAGGGGTACCTTGCACACCCTGGAAATACATTCCACGTACCACACAATCCTACAACCACTTGGCATTGCTACAAGTATATCTATCATGTATGTGGACTAAATGGACTATGTATGTACTCACGACACCATCATCAGATGGAAAAAAAAAGTTCAGAGCCACCCTTGCATGGATGATGAGGGCGTCGAGTGCTGCTACAGATGATATCCATGAAGAATGCCGCGTCGGTCGTCCTTTTCCTCATTTCGACATCTTGCGAGAATACCGGAAGAAGACTCGTTTTTATCTCTCTTGTTTCTACGTTCTTCCGTGTCTTGGCTAATGCGCATCAACCCATCCGTCCTGCTGAACCAACACGCCAGATATACGACGCATTCTATCGACTCACGGACCCTCAGGCGCAGATCCGCTCTTATGTCTTCGACGTCGTCAGAAGTGAGTTGGGTCGTTACATACTTAGTTTCCTATCCTTAGAACGGTACATGACGAGTGACGGTAGGATACTACTCAAACTTTATGTCCTGCCGGACACGACGCGATGCGGGCTATGTAAAAATATTGTTTGGTGCGTGGGCTTGCGATGTGCAGCGGGAGGTCAGAGTACTGCCAGTCCATGCTACTATCGGAGGCGAGGAAAATCGTTTCTTAATCCAGTCAGTCAGGTTGTCGGCGTTTTCGTTGAACGCTATTATTTCATTTTTTCAATTCTGGCACCAGGTCATCCTACATGCGTTTCCCGTGCCCTATCTCCGTCTGCCGTCCACCAAGTCGTTCACTCCGTGCATCTGCCCTTTACACACCTATGGTTTATTTCACGTCTACGTTCTGCGGCTTTTGCTCGGCGACGTGCCTCGATCCTGCGTCATCAGTGCCGCCGGTAGATGAATACACTATTATAACTAGCCTCGATGTCGGTTGTGTTGTGGCGTGTGACAGGTACACTTCCCAAACTCGATCTTGACCAGGCTTTCGATTCGAAAGAGGTATGTCCGTGCATATCGATGTGTTTCGATGCGTGTTCTAAGTTCTTTTCGTTGTTGTTGTTTTGGTTGGTAGAATCAAGATGTCACAATACGGCCGTCCGTCAAACACAAGTTCAATTTTCGCTTGTATGAATATATAGCATAGTATATAGAGGAAACTTCACATGCACGCCGTCTTTTGGCCGGATCGTTCGACCGCCTTTCGAGACTTACAGGAATGACCTACCTTTCTTTGCTGATGGGAATGCCCGGGCTTAGTTTATTTCTCGTACGTTGGCGTCACATCTAGTGAGCTGTAGTCGCGTTCCACACCCGAAGAGGCGTTGTTGGTCATTTTCTCGACCATACCTCGTTCGCGCCTAAAAACGTTCGCGCCTAAAAACAGGACATCGCCGTGGCGGTGAAGAACCAGCTTGAGGAGGTGATGAAGGAGTACGGTTACCAGATCCTGCAGGCCCTGGTGACCGACATGGACCCGGACCCCCGCGTGAAGGAAGCCATGAACGAGATCAACGCCTCCAAGCGGATGAGAGAGGCGGCCACCAACAAGGCCGAGGCCGACAAGATCATGCAGGTAAACGGTATTCGTGTTTATTTCATGAATGTCGGGAGCTAGCAACATTTGGTGAAGCCATCCCCCGGTGTGAGGTGTCTTGTGAGGTTCCTCGACCCTGGTTGCCTGGTTTGGTGTGCCTCGCAAAATGGTTTGTGGATGCGAGACTTCAAGACTACATAAAACATGAATAATGTGTACGCACTTCGCTCAGAACCTTGTCCCCCCACCCCTGTCCCCCTCTCAGCAGCTGTTGTCCCTCCCACCTCACTTCCCCCTGGTGAATCTCTATTATCGCTCGCTGTCTTTGCTTACTGTACACACCCGGTCTTACCTGCGACCCGGAAAAAACATTTTACACGAAGTCTTCCCGTCTTCACTCCACTCTCTTGAACCTCCCCTCACCCACTTACTTCTGAAGTAGTTAATTGCAGTACTTTAGGTGAATGTTGTTTCGGTAGGCCAACCGTGCAGTCGCCGACGTTGGCGCTAACGGGATAAACTTCACCGTAGCACCGCCAACGACAACGCACCTGCAAATGATGGCGGTTGACACCCTGTGCATATGTTGAACAACTGGTGTTGTCGTACGGAGGCCCTGACTACGTGGTCGCTCCTGGTTTCATCATCGAGCAATGCAGGTTAAGGCGGCTGAGGCAGAGGCAGAGTCCAAGTACCTGTCCGGCGTGGGTGTGTCCAGGCAGCGCAAGGCTATCGTCGACGGCCTCCGCGACTCCGTGCAGAACTTCGCCGAAGCCATCGACGGTGCGAAAAAGCAGGGGGGAAGCGCCAGCGATGCGCACGAGCCTGCCTCAATCTCAGCGGTTTCGTGACTCTTTTTCGCACCTCCCGAAACCGCCATGTCCTTATTCTCGAAGTCGAAAAGGATACGTTCAAATTGTTTTTGTCTGAATCAGACCGAGCGCAGTGACGAATGGCCATCATCGCCCGAACCTTCAACCGTCTGTGGATGATGATGATGATGCAGGATCCACTTTTCGCGAACCTAACCTACGACGACTCCCTCCCTGATATCCGCACCAGAGTAAATACCCCCAGGCGCACAACATCTCATGGTTTTATCTTGTCGTGCTGTTTTCTTGCAAATAAATTGTCATCGCCTTGCTGCAGGAACATCCCCGAAGGACGTGATGGATCTGCTTCTCCTGACCCAATATTTCGACATGCTCCGCGACGTGGGTCAGTCTTCCCGCGCGGCGACGGTGTTCCTGCCGCACGCGCCGCAGTCCGTGGCAGCCATCCAAGCCGCCATGCGCGACGGGTTTATGCAGGTAAAGAACGCCAAGAAATAAAATCCGAAGCGATCTTCATCGGAGACGGTGTTGGATATACCATCGCATTTGAGTCGCCGCCGCCATAATTGGGTGTGTTCGTGTTCGCCTCCTTTGCGCTACACCCCCCCCTGCCCCCACCGCTACCATCCACGTGTATTTCGCGTACGTTGCAAACTTTAGCCTTTTTGTCGCTTCGTCGTCGTGTCTCTTCAAAACCCTCGTGTGACCCCTTATTCTTATTTGTCTGCTTACGTTGCACGGCCACTCGTTCGGGCTTCTATCTTCCCCTGCCGTGCGACGGTGTCTACAGGGACAGGCGGGGAGCACCGAGACTCCCCCCCCAAACATGCAACAGCACAAGATGGTGCGCTGAGAGGACAAGCACCTCTTCACACCCGCGGGAGAGAGAGAGAGAGAGACAAGAGAGGGTGTATCTAATGGTAGTTGTTACTACGCAGAGGTCACTGTTTTAGGTGTAAAAGGTCATAGGTCCTTCCTGTGGACACGACTCGCAACGCTTGGGCTTCTTTACGTAATAATTTGCTCGGCTCGCCGAGATGAAATCCTTTTTCAACCCATAGCCCCTCGATCAAGCGGCGTGCGCTCTCTGCGTAACTGCGACGCGTGCATGGGCAGATAGATGCGCTTGGACTCAGTTCCTTGTGTCGGGTCAGATCGGGGTCATACGGGTTTTGATTGATACGCAGGCCAACGTTTGGATTCCCGGGTCAAGACCGGCCTCCATCCGGGGACTGGGGCTTTGACGGGATGGCGACTTTGTCACGTGCACGCAAGCGCCTTCGCGTTACAACGTTCAACGTTGTAAATAGCGCGAAGAGCAATGAAACGAGTGTTCTGGTGACAACACAAAGGACAGTTGAATTTCTGTGAGGCCTCCCAGGCCCACGGGAACGCAAAACAAAAACCCGCACCACGAGCTTCCCGCGACGCTCCGCCTCTACTGCTGTTGCCGAAAAATCAACAAGCGTGGACTGCAACAAACGACACAGCGGAGGACCATTTCCGTACACGTTGGAAGCTACCGCCTTGTTCTCCTTGCTACCATCATCGCGGACCAACTTTCCTCGACGTATACATGGCGGCCAAGAGAACACACAGACAGCAGGTGCAACGCCCAAACAACCACACGAGGGTCCGTCTCTTGTTGCGTGCAGCATCTCGTCGCAGGAAAGCCTATACGCAACAACCACACCCGAGGCGATGGCGAACGACATCTGATCATATCGGGAATCAAGCCACGGCTCCATGTACCGGAAAACTTAACTTAGCGCCACGCAAGCTGCACAACAGAACCGTGGACGAAAGGATTCAATCGCTCGGGCGATGCCACGACCGCTGAATTGCTCGGCGAACAGACACCCAACGCGCGGCGAGATGCTTTGGCGACCGCACAAGAGCGGATACGACACATACATGCTGTGGGTGTATGGCACACGCGGTCACGACAAAATTACCGGCGACACCAGGGGGGACGGGTGGCTCCGACTCTAAATCAGCGGTGCCCCTTCCGCGTCATGTTACTCGCTGACAATCGCCTCTGCATCTGGTGTGCCCTTCCTCTCGATCCATCTACATCGACGCCCCGGGGTAGAATAAAGAGTTTTAAGTATTCTACATCGTGGTGGGAAGACTACCCTCTGAGGTCGAAGCGCCTCCCTCATCCATAATAAACCCTCTTCCAGGCGCCGCTTGCTTTTCGAGTTTGTTGCCTCCTTGGTAACGGGGCAAACACGCACCCATACTCTACCGGTCGTTAGGTCTACTGGACGATGGAAGACACCACTCCGGCACCCACTGTCCTGCCCCCCTCGCGGAGGGCGAACCGAAGCCCCTCTTGCATCACAACTGGACTGATCAGCTGAGCATTCCCATCCATGACAGAGAGAGAGAGAGAGAGAGTGACCAGAGAAAGAGAGAGACACACATAGAGAGAGGGAGGCAGACAAGCAGAGACAGAGCAAAAACACGTGGAGACAGGGAGGAGAGGGATGGTGGTCAACGACGTGGGCATCGTGTATTTCCAAAATACGTACCAAAGGAGAAAAGGAAACGCCCGCCCGGATAATATATACTTCTGTTTTATCTGTTGCATGCCCTGTCTGCATCAACACCTCTCTCGCACCAGAAAAACGCATCTCCCATGGCTCGTTTCGGGCTGTTCCACAGCCTCGTGCTCAGGACCGATACTGTTCCTTTCACAAGCATCGGCTACCACAGTGGAACCCGAAAATACAACGGAGCACAGCAATTCTACAAGTGGCAGCGTCTGCTGCTGCCCCGAGCCCCCCACGATGTTCGTAAAAGCACCACCCAAGACCAAGATGGCGCAACACACAAAACAACGGCAGCGGTCTTTGTCCTGCAGAGAACCAAGACCGCCATTACGCCGCGGGCACAAACGAAAAAAGCACTGCAGCAGTGCGTCAAGCAAAACAGGACAGCCCCCCTTGTGAACGAACAACAAGGTCTTGTTCAAGCACCACGAAGCTCGACCCTCGAGAAAGGAACTCACGTCGATGGTGAGGCTAACGGTGTCGCCGGGCATGACCATCTCGGTCCCCTCCGGCAGCTGCACGGAGCCGGTCACATCAGCCGTCCGCACGAAGAACTGCGGCCTAAGGTAGAGGTAGATAGGACGGGCCGTCATGCGAGGTCGTGTGAAAAAAAGAAAAAGAAACACACACATACACATCCTCACTCACTAGGCAGCGGGTTTGTAGGTTTGGTTGATGCTACTTAGAGAAACACACCCACGAACACGTAGCATGCCAGGAGGGGCGGCGGGGGCGGGCACGTTCAACAGCATGCACGTGCACAAGGGGGGGGGCGGGGGGGGCAGCCTGGGCACCTCGTACCGCCAGTTAATACGAGTACAGCGCGCGGGGGCGTGTCAGACGACAGGCAAATAGCCCAGACGTTGCACATGGTCCCGTCACAGCGGCAGTTGGGCCTCTCGAACTCTCTCCCTCTCTCTCTCTGCCTTGTCTTGTCTCGCTGTCTGCCTGTCTGTCTCTCTCTGCGTGTGCCTCCGTCCCTCTCACCGGTAGTTGGAGAAGAAAGGTGTGTGCCTTCCGCCCTCGTCCTTGGTGAGCACGTAAACCTCCGCCTTGAACTTCTTGTGGACCGATACGCTGTTGGGCTTGTGGATGACCTGGAAAGACGACATACACACACCAAGGGCGGGAGGGAATCCATCGCTGTCTGTCTCAACCGCAAAGGTTGCCGGTGGAAGCTGCCGACGCACAGCTCACCAAGAAAAGACCGACGAATTAGCGACGGCAGAGGCAGCTAGCTGAAACGGTTATTGCGAGAGGATCCCCAAGTCCAGCAAAACATCCGGTAAGAACGATACAGCGTTGCGAAAAGGTGAAATGACGCGTAGGATCGACTGACGGACAACAAAAACAGCAACGTGCTATTGACCTGAATACTATGTTCCTCCGTAAATAACCGCTCGGCTCAACGCGCTCGAGGAGGCCTTCGAACAAAGGTGCCACATCTCAAACGTCTCTCGAAAACACGAGACAGTTCGCGCGAACGCAAAGGGCAACAAAGGCCAGCGTACCCGCGACAACAACAGTCGGTCAGGGCAGGGTGGTGCAACTGCGTTCACCAAAGAAAAGCAAGAAGGAATTGAGATTTTTTCCTACGCCGAAGAACCTGCAAAAGACACCTGAGAAAACTGCAGCTCTCTGTAGGCAGACAATCCCAACACGGGAGCAACGCACTCCCCCCGACTCAGCTAATGGCTTTACTCCAAGCCCAACACAAGGCCAGAAGAAAATCTCCTAAAAGCTGTAAGAAAGAGAAGCAAGCGCTTGAGGACGCTGCCGCAGCTGCTAAGAAAACGCCCGCGTACACCCTGGCAGCGGCAGAGGTGCCTGCTGATGTCTCCACTCAGACCACCGGGGGAAATAATTCCGAGAACGATTCCGACTCCAAGAGAGTACCCGTCACGACAGCGACCACCAGGACGGTAGCAGCGAGGAGGAGGGCCAACTAGACGACGACCACGGTGGGTCGCCGGGGATCACCCGGGACATGCTCGGGGTCCCACCGTTTGGACACGAGTGGCTCTTTTGGGAACAGCAAAACCTGCCTACAGGCAGCCGCCCCGAAAGGTTCGTCGTCCGGGAGTCGGAAAAGGCCGCCGCGCCTGGCACCAACCCGCGCCGGGTTACGTCGTACAGCTAAATAGCGCTCGGGACGACGGTCAAGGACCCCCCGCCATCGCTCAGCCCTCCGCGGCGAGTGCTCTCTCGACGGCTCGCGCCAACGCCCTAGAGGAACCTCTGGGGACGACCGCCCCATGTCTCTGGAGTGGCCGACTGGAGTCGCGAAAGGCGCGCCAAGGGCAATAGATTACCGTTCCAAATCTCGGGACGGGCAGGGTCAGGCCAAACACACCCAAGAGGGAGGAAGCCTGATCGACGCAAGGAACCTGATGTCGTGAGAGTGCGAATACCTTGCGTGCGAATTTGGGCCCGGTCGTGTTAATACCCACCCTCGCAGTAGATGCAAAATTTCAGCGCGCCTTATCCGCTTCCTGAGTTCTGTCCACCAGAGGCGGGAGCACACGATTTTGGGTGTCCTTGCTGCCCCTTGTTTATCTTGGTACGTTTCCACTTTGGTTGGGTGATGTCCGGGACAACACCGAACCAAAGTGGAAAAGGGCCGAGATAAACAAGGGCCAGCAAGTACACCCAAAATCGTATGCTCCCTCCTCTGGTGGAAACAACTCAGGAAGCAGATAAGGTGCACTGGGAAAAAGCAGCCGTACCACCAAGCAATAGGCAGTCGTGCGTGAATGGACAACAGAAGAGCATGGATGTCTAGCGAAGAGCGCTCACGTAGCTGCGAAGGTATATAGACACCGTTGCCCCCAGTAGGAAGTAGCACGCAAACCACAAACGGCGCTGGTAGGACCGCACGCTCTAAACGTAGCTACAATAGCTGGAGGTCTCAAATCGAAGCATAGGTCGAGACAATTGACTGCCGAAAATAATGAAGGGGAATCGTCTGCGTTCCACGTGTCAGCGCTTGCTGGATGCCCTACGTAAGAATCCATCTGCGTTGAATGCTGCGCCCAAACGAGTACGCATCTCTTGCGAGAATCAACAATTCATCGGTTAATGACATTACAATCGATGCAGCGTGTGATGCACCATGAATATCTGCACAATTCATGCGCCATTACCAGACGCTGAAAAGCACAGAAATAATGCCCGTGCCTCGCGGAGCCATAAATCTGCGAAGCGCTAATGGCTCACTCTCAAGTTACGGAGGATACACTCGTTTTGAACTGAACATTGGGAGAAATAGCGATTCCTGATGAATCACCAGTGTTGCCGTCATTGGGACCCGATAACATGTTGCTAGACAGTAGCATCATGGGAGTATTCGATGTTGTACTGGATTGGCAAGCAGAACAACTGTCATAACAAAATTCAGCGGCAAAACAACTGCAACACACCGGAAAACGCAGTCACCCACGACCGCACAGGTAGATCAAATCAACAGCTCAAAATAGTGGCAGCTTTGGAGGGTGAGAAAACACCAGTACCTGTTACCTCAGCGAAAAATGCTGTATTCCTGCGAAACACGAAATAGCTGTGGAAGTGCATTCAGTCGAAGCTCCGGCAGAGACAACTCCGGCTTCGATAAAACCACGCATTGTCACAGCAGAAGACATGCAGGTCAAGCCTACTACTCCACAAGCTATTCGAAAGAAATTAGTAGTCGCAAGAACAGTTTTGTCACTGTTCTGCGAACACGAAAGGAGCGGCGGAACAAAGAGCCAGACTCCTCTAGCCGACAGATACCCGACAAGAGACAACACTCTTAGGGTATATTTCTCCTGTCGAAACAGCAGTGCTGCCGCAAACCGCGAGCAGAGTTTCAACCGAGAAAGGGAGAGACGGAAAAACACCGTCAAGACCTACAAAAGGCCAAAACTTTAAACAGTGCCACATTTATCGCCTGGGCAATATGAAGAAATTATACGCAATACAACCGTGCACGAAATATCCCTCAGCCAAATCCTTGACTCCGGACGAATAGGGCAAACGCACTATCAAGGAAGCTGAGGTCCTCCTTCAACCAGCACACCCTGTAATTACGGCTCCGTATCGCGCCAATCCACGCGTGCAGGAGGGAATCGACAAATGCGTTTACGAAATGGACAAAGCGGGAATCGTTCGACAACGACCAAGCCCGTGGGGATCAGCGGCAACGTTGGTCGCAAAAGCCGACGATTCTCCCGGTTCTGTATAGACTATCTACAGAGCCACCATCAATAGAAACTTGATTCGAAAATCTTGGCCAAATGCCGGAATTGGCTAGCCACACCGACACAGTAGCAGGTGCAGAATTTATGAATTTATCACCACGAAAATTGGGGGAACTGTCGCCATAAGACGAAAAAAAACATGTGACGTACACAGCGCGTACCACCAAATACCAATCGCCGAAAGCACAAAAAAACAAGAAGGCTTCTCAGGGTTAACCGGAACCCGACGGGCTGGCGGCGAGTCGATTCACGGGTTCGCTACGTCCGACACGTCACCTTGAGATTTCATGGCCAACGTCTCTGACACAAAGAAGGCACAAGATGGCCTACCCACCTGCAAGAACTGTCGTTTGGCGCGGCCTTCAAATGGGAATTTGTGTCAGAGACGTTGGCCATGAAATCTCAAGGTGACGGGTCGGGACGTAGTGCGGACTAGTTGAAAATTCCCATCGATCAAGCAGTTTTTCCCACCAGCCTGCAGCAGCTATCGCTTGGGAACAGGTTCAATCAGCCGATCACAAACGTTGATTGGCCAGCCTCCCTGTTGCGGCGTAACCATGGGGCAATCAATTTAACCAGCGCGTTGTGGGCGCAAGATGGCCTACCCACCCTTACAAGTTCCACAAATTCAAAAATCTGTTTTTTGGTCCTCCCCCCCGCCATTATTTTCTAGTTTTCGGATCTAAAGCTGGCGGGTGGCGGCGAACCCGGTTTTTCTTCCACCAAAAGCAGACATCTCATCACAACGCCAATGTGAAAAAGAGATAATCGTCCTCGACGGACGTTGGGAAAATGTAGCCTTCATGAAGGTGAGCTCCACAGAAGCGCCGGATGAGACACCGCGACCCAAGCAGCTGCCCGACTTCTTGGCGAGCTTGGTGGGAGGGATTCTGCAAATAGCGTGCCGCCGTTTCGTGTCTTCTCATCATCGTGTACGGTGCGTACCCCTTCAGGTTCGAACCTCTTTCCTTCAGGTCTCTCTCTCGCCGGTGATGGTCGCACACAGCCCTCTCACACGCAAAAGATAGCGTCCAGATGGCTTTTTCCTCTACAGTAGCCAGGCCGTTCACCTCACCCCAACCCACGCTTCAGCCTGTTGGCGCCAACTACACACCACTCTTAATCAAATCAGACGTGAATACGAACGAAAAAACTCAACACCTTACCTGCCCCCGCTGTACGTCTTCTCTCTTCAGCCCTCGCAGCAGCGCGCCGATGTTGTCCCCCGCCTGCCCCTGGTCCAACAACTTCTTGAACATCTCCACCCCCGTACAGGTAGTCTTCACCACAGAGCCGATGCCGGAGATTTCCAGCTGTCGGTGGGTGGCGTTTTTGACGGCAGGGAGAGGGGGGGGGGGGCGTGGGCGTGTGTACGCGCGTGCGTTCTTCTTGCTTATCGACTGGTGTGAAAAGAGGGAATCGTCCTTGACAAATGTGGGGAAAGAGATTGTGCCCTTGGACAACGAGATCTCTCCACACCACTACACCAGTCTGTAGGCATCGGCAGAGCTGAGCGGCTGACCACGCGGCTGTAGGCTACTTGCTGCAAGTACCATGTTTGTGCACACCTTTGGTTCCTTACGCCCAACAGAAATGCCTGCCCAATAAATACCCCAAAAATGAAGTATTTGCGGTGGTGGGAGACAACACTGTACACATCAACCGCGGCATTCAGTAGAGGTCACTGCCCGGTATAGTGCCGGTTGAATAGTGCCGGTCAGGGTATAGTGTCAGTGAATTTTCTGAACACATGACGACAATAAACAGGGACCTCTATTTACTACTGTCAGGGTAAAGTGTCAAAGTGAATCTCCTGGTCACATAACGACACCAAACAGGGACCTCTACCACTGTCAGGGATTAGTGTCAAGTGAATTTTTTGGGCACATCACGGCACTAAACAGGGACCGGAAAGTAATACCATCCTACGCACCTCGTCGCCCACTTTGACGACCCCCTGCTCCACCCTCCCCGTCACCACGGTGCCTCTCCCCGCGATGGAGAACACGTCCTCAACGGGCATCAGGAACGGCTTGTCCAGGGCTGAAAAAAAAAGACACACACGTACAAACACAGCACAACACATCAACCAACGTAAAACAACATGCACAGAAGAGATGATCCCGATGATGAAGCAGCCAAGACACCCATTACCGCAACCATCACAAGGACTGCAGTAAAAGCTGCTGCTAGTGCGCGCTTCCAACACAGCACAGCGCGACAGACCAACGAAAAAGAACGAGCAAAGACGACACAATGGTGATGATGAAGCGGCAGCCAAGACACCCGTTATCACCACCATCAACAGGACTGTAGCTGCAGCTGCTGCTGCTGCTGGTGCGCGCTTCCAACACAGCACAGCGCGACAGACCAACGAAAAAGATCAAGAAAAGACGACACGATGGTGATGATGAACCGGCAGGCAAGACCCATCATCACTACTGGGCATCACCATTACCACCACCATAATCAACAGGACTGCACAACAAGGAACGACGACACGATAGTGATGATGAGAAGCAGCCAATTCTCGCTACCACCACCACTGCCATCATCATCAAGAGGACTGCAGCAGCAGCAGCAGCTGCTGCTGCTGCTGCTGCTGCTGCGCGCTTCCAAGACGGCAACACACACCTCTGGTCGGGGTGGGGATGTGCTCGTCCACGGCCGCCATGAGCTCCATGATGGCGTCCTCGCCGACCTCCTTGTCCCTACCCTCCACCGCGGCGAGCGCGGAGCCGGCCACCAATGGGATATCATCGCCGTCGAACTTGTAGAACGACAGCAGCTCTCGGATCTGTGTCGGCCACATAAGGAAGCACGAGGCAGAAAACGTGGCACGCACACGCAAGATCAACAAAAAACGTCCATATCAGCGTGGTCAAACTTGTGGAACGACAGCGGCGGCACCAGCATCTCGGACCTGTGTCGGCCGTACATGAAGCGAAGCGAGGCAGACACGTGGTATGCACGCAAGTTCAACAACACGCCAGAGAGTGGTACAAGAACGACAGCAGCATCTCGGATCTGTTCGGCCGTACATGTAGCGAGCGACGTAGCAAGCACAAACGTTGGTCTGCGCGCAAGCTCCTACTACATTTCCCCCCGAAACGCACTAACTGCATTACCTCGGCTGCAAATCGTCTCCAATAGTGGTTTCGGTTCGGTTCAGGGAAGCAGAGGAGACGCGAACTATGTAAATGAGCAGTGTTTGGTTGAAATTCCGTACCCCAACTATCGGTTTCCCTCCGCAAGGATATACTAAGACACGTTGTTTGATCGTACTTCCCCCAAGCGTGACGTTGCTCCAGTCGGGCACACCATGCACTCCGCGACATCGACACACACTTCGAATCTATCCAGCCTTTTGTATGCCCAACCAAACGGCTCTTTCACTGTCCGTTCAGCACTCGTTCGGAACCACAACAATCCCCCCCCCCCCCCCTAGGCGTAGCCATATTCTTCCCTCTACGTTTCTTTTCTC